CCACTTATCAAACACCCCACCTTTATCCTTCCAAATTGACAAACAACACCAACATGGGCTCAAACCACAAACCACAAAAGCTTACCACCTACAAAAAAAAAAAAAAAAATCCCCCCTTTTTTTTTTTTTTTTTTTTTTTTTTTTTTTTTTTTTTTTTGTTTCCCCCCATGTGCGGATGCGAGGCGGACTTGGGGCGCGGTAAGGCAAATAAATGGCTTACGGGGCCGCGCACTACGGTATGCATTCTAGATCGTATCGTTGTTACTATTTCCGTTCTCTTATCGGCTCTCCTTGTAGTAGGATAGGAGAAGCCGGATGAGAATATTGGTTGATGAATGCTTAAAACTTCGGAGAACGAGGTTTCTGGTCTTGGCGGGGGAGGGGGAATTCGCCATGTCTCGCGCAGGATTACTATAAAATTGTGATGAATAGATATAATGGAATGGCCATGTATAGTCGGCAATTGCGTATGTGGCTAAACATTAGGCACAGTCAATCATAGGTGTATACTATTATATCTATCTTTTGCCTCTGTCACAGGTTATGAAAATACTGAGGTGAAGGTGAAGGAAGGTGACTAAGCTCTTACTTACATTTCTTCTATCGACTTGATTACTGACTATTGGGTAGAAAGAAAAGGGGGGCTGGCTTACTTAATGCACTGCTGCTTATATCAGAAATCATCCCAACGCTAGACGATGAGTGGATTATAGAATGCGTACTATGTCGTGTTATGTTACGTTACGTTACGTTACCGTTTGGGAAAGTGATGATATTCACTGTACGCGTGCGTGTTTCATGATGTTACCGGGTTCTAGACCCTAGTACGTATGCTTGATCTAATTTGATATTAGCATAGCTCTCGGCTATCATGGGAAATAATCGATCTGTTGTTACATAGGAAATGCTGGGAAGCAGACCTAGATCAACCGTCGAAAAGATGTCGGGTCAATATAGACTCTGTACATGTTCTTGTTAAGCTCACATGCTGGTAATAGATGAAGAATGGGACATATGATTTCCTCTGGATTCGCGCAGCAAATCAACTAGAGAAATGCTGGGATTGCCTTGAATCAATTTAGAAGGAGAGCTGTTTCTCAACTAACTCGGGCGTTGTTCTCGAGGGAGATGGCGTCATCACATAATGGGGAAATATCAAAGAACAGAAGTTGTGCTAGGTTGCAGATTGTTTTATCCAGTCACTGTTCATAGCTAGTATGTTTCTTTGTACATGTTTTTATTGTAATATATATGTAAGTCTACTCTACATAGATAGCAGCAACACAACCGTGATGATATCTAGGTATACACGAAGGGGGTTATCTGTCTATATATCTCCTTTCACTGCTTCTATAGTATCGTGACAAATATAATGCTTTATACATATATCTAAGCATTTCAATATAGTGATATTGCTGTGTAGACTCGATTTGTATTAAAGTTCGGATTACGGAGTTCTGTGCACGACCATCATGAGCACTAATATTATTGTAGTTATCGAGCGCCATTAGACCTGGACTGCGCCGATACGGACTCAATGGCGGTAAATAGCATCTGCCATCAGCACGACTTGCGCCATCTCGAGAACGTCGTGAACGCGCACGATGTCTGCGCCGCCTTGCACCGCGGCCGTGACGGTGGCCGCAGTTCCGAAGACACGGTCCCCGGGGTTCGGTACACCGGTGATTTTGCCGACGAAACTCTTACGGCTCGAACCCAGCAGCCAGGGGAGACCCTCTAGGCCAGGCCATCGCCGTAGTTCGGGCATGTGCCGCAGGATCTCGAGATTCTGGTTGCCAACCTTGGCGAAGCCCATACCGGGATCCAGGATGATGCGCCAACGGCGGATGCCGGCTTCCTCGGCTGCCTTGACGCGAGCACGGAGCTCTTCCGCAAGCGTGGGGATGAGTCCATCTGGGTATTCGTTCAGACGACTCATCGTCGCTGGTGTGCCGCGCATGTGCATCAGACACACGGTGCAGCCTAGGCGAGCAGCAGTTGATAGCATTTCCTCATCGAGAAGGCCTGCTGATACGTCGTTCACGATATCAGCACCTGCGGCTACTGCAGCTTCGGCAACGGCAGCTCGGTACGTGTCCACGCTTATCGACACATGTGCTGCCTCGGGTATGCTGCGAATTAGGGAGATAGCGGGAAGCACGCGGCCGAGTTCCTCGGTCACACTGACTTCGGGTGCCCCTGGAGCGGTTGACTGGCCCCCAACGTCGATTAATGTCGCGCCGCTAGCGATGAAGTGCTGGATTGCTGACCGTAAACGTGCGAGGTATTCAGGAGAGGGTAGGGACGATGAAGATAGGCCACTGTCAGGGTTGACCTCCGACTGGGGAAGATGCACACCGCCATCACTGAACGAGTCTGGCGTCACGTTGAGGATGGCCATGACTTGGGTTTGCCTTGTAGAACGTAGCGCATTAAGAGGGGTTACGGACACACGTAGCGGCGTAAGAGTTGATAGGGGCTCAGTGCTTCCATTCGCGGGAAGAGGTAGCTCGTTCAAGTAGTCCTGGATTAACTTCCAGGGGCGATTGGAGTCAAGAGGGCGATGCGGGATCAGCTCTGCTAGGGGCCGGAGCACGAACTCGCGTTCGGCGATTAGAGGATGGGGGATCTGCAACCGGGAATGAGCCACGGTCTCGTTCTCATATAGGAGAATGTCTAAATCGATGTTGCGCGGCCCCTTATCTATGATCTTCCGTCGTCCCATAGATTTTTCTATGTCTTGCAGAGCATCCAGAAGAGATAAGGGCTCTAGCTCTGTTTCTACCTATTGATCGCTTAGTTGATGCATAAGAAGAGGACTGCATGTAGCCGTATCATATCGGGGAGCGTGGTTTCACACGTGATACACGAAAGGGCATACAGAATAGGAACAGGTATGCCCATGCGTAACACTGGTGGTTATGGAGGGTAGCAAAAGGGAGTAAGAACGAAAAGACATACTTCGCAGGCTCCATTGACAAACCTCTCTTGATCAAGCACATACATAGGTTCGGTCTCCCACAAGCTGCTTGTCCGCTTCACCTTGATGCCGCGCATATCCATTTCCTTACACGCCTGCTCGATCATGGCCACGCGATCGCCGAGATTGCTCCCCAGTGCGATATAAGCGGTCCGCAATTTGGGGAGCCCTACGCCTGCCTCGCCCTTACGAAACAGTAACTCATCCCTCGGTTGAGATTTAAGCTCATTCACTAATGTTTGGTCCATTGTGTACCGCTTGAAGTCGGCGTACCCCCGCCGAAATACAGCGTATGATAACGCTGGTGAATGCCTGGAGGTTCCGGTAATGGACGTGTTATAATAACAACTCAACGGAACTGATGAACAAGTGGTTGTAGTGAATGACGACGATGGCCGAGCACGGCGTGACCCAAGACTCCATGCTCGAAATGATGGCCGTGACAGACTCATAGAGGCTCGTCTTCTAGAAGGCTGACATCCGAGTCGAAATACCCCAAGCGGCTGATAGCAACGCACTAATGTAGCAAATCGGAAAAAAGTATCATCTAGATGCTTGAGGCGGTCCATTAACAGCGGGGGTCTCTTGTGGGGATTCTCACAAGTACCTAAAGTATCTCGAGTATGTACATGACATGGGCATCAGTCGTTGTGTGTGCCTATTTAGGACTGGGGTCCTTTTAGTGCGCTGTGTAGAGATGGAAGACATCTATCTGACTGCAACGTATCACGTATTGAGGACTGTTCGAATACAGACGTGGATGGTATTTTGTATCACCTGGATAGATTAATATACTAGCTACTACTACTACTTCGTAATTGCTGCTTTGTCGGTACATAGAGTTATTCGGACAACCCCCAAATATCCTCCTCACGATAGGGAATCAATGTGACAACATGACCTATCTATCGTTCGAATGAATCAGGAATAATGGCCACGAGGCAACTAATGAATCAGGAAATCAATATTTCATGGCTTCTCTTCCGAAGACTGAATCTTGTGTGGTTTCGGCCTTTGGGTTCGGATGGACGTGTGGCGTTATGTGGTGAAGATATCCCGGACTTTGTAAACGCATTCGGTTTCTTTTTGGAACCACCTAGGTTGACTGGTATCGAGTAGTGCAATGGGGATTACCGGATATCTATACCTAGGTATAAGTAGGTAGGTAGATACTCAAATTAATCCGCTGAAGCAGCCTCGCTCTGGTGCCTCGTACTTATCACACCCGTCGATGTTGAGGCGAGGACTCTAGGTTTTGTAACCTTGTCGGTGATGCGCGTTGACCTTGAACTCATCAGTTAAATCTATACTTACAAAGACGCAAAATCACATGGCGCAGATAGACTAGTGCTCTCTAATCCAAGTTGATTTGATGGGCCTCTTTGACACACCACTGTGGACTGTCTTGTGGGGGATTGTATGTAATGATTGCTAGGTACATAGGTACATGTGTAGTCTGTACTTAGGTATTGTAGTGAGCGTGCGCGCTAAAGTGCCCGTGCCTCTGTGCCTCGGTTCGTCCCACCTGGAAATGGAAAGCTCTGAGCGCGACCCCAGACTCTCCTTGCCCCCCCATCAGAATCAAGTTAGATCTGTGTGGAGATGGGGATGCCTCGGTTCGCGAAGGGAGACACCCTGGAAGAGAATGTGGTCCGTTCCCAGCGCAGCGACAAAGTGCCGTTGTTGGTTGTTCTACCTACTCTGTATTTATCGCCCCATCTTCCTACATCTTGCTTCTTTCTTCTTTTTGCTTAGAAACTTGGTTGGCATTTCCTCCTCTCAGCGCCTGTCCTTCCTATCCCGCTTACTCTTGTGCTTGACATTGTCGTGTATTTGCAACGTGATACCCTTTTCCTCTCAGTTCCACGCATTCCGCTCTCCTAAGCAACATGGCGTCACCACGTAAGTTCCGATCCTGCTTGCCCAAAATCAGAGACAAGAGAAGCATCCCGGCTAACTTGGCTTTTGCGCCATCCGCAACAGAGAAGATTCGTACCCCCATCACCGACATGTTCGGTATTAAACATCCCATACTTCTTGCTGGCATGAACGTCGCTGCCGGTCCCAAGCTAGCCGCTGCTGTCACGAATGCTGGAGGGCTGGGTGTAATAGGGGGAATGTCCTATAGTCCCGATATGTTAAAAGAGCAGATTGACGAGATGAAATCCTACCTCAACGACAAGAATGCGCCATTCGGCATCGATCTGCTCCTTCCCCAGGTCGGTGGCAACGCCCGAAAAACGAAGTATGCCAACACCTTTCTCAGGTATCCGACGCGCGTATGCTAATGTCCATCGATTTCCAGTTACGATTACACCAAGGGCAAGTTAAATGAGCTCATCGACACCATCATCGAGTCGGGCGCCAAGCTGTTCGTCTCCGCTGTTGGTGTGCCACCCAAGGCCGTTGTCGAGAAACTACACAAGCATGGCATACTGTACATGAACATGGTTGGACACCCCAAGCATGTCCAGAAGGCTTTGGATATCGGCTGTGATATTATCTGCGCTCAGGGTGGCGAGGGTGGCGGCCACACCGGAGACGTTCCTACAACGGTCCTTATCCCTGCTTGTGTTCAGATTTGCAAGGGACAGAAGAGTCCCTTGACGGGCAAGCAAGTCGAGGTTATTGCTGCTGGCGGCATTCACAATGGTCAAATGCTTGCCGCATCCCTCATGATGGGTGCTGGTGCTGTATGGGTTGGCACCAGATTCATTCTGGCCGACGAGGCTGGTGCGCCCGAATCACACAAGGAGTCGGTGCGCACTGCTGGCTTTAACGACACAATTCGCACTCTCATTTTCACCGGACGGCCCCTCCGAGTGCGTACGAATGCCTACATAGAGAACTGGGAGAACGAGCGTCGAGACGAACTGAAAGAGCTTACTTCGAAGGGAATATTGCCTTACGAAGCTGACCTAGATAAGATAGCTAATGGTACCGGCGAGGGAAGCGGGTCTTCTGACGACGGAGCTAGCGAAGATGATGTCGATGACCTTATGGACCAGTTCCGGCCACACTTGATGGGCAAGTGTGCAGCTTTGGTCAACGAGCAAAAGAGCGCTAAAGCTATCGTCGACGAGTTCGTTGACGATGCCTCAGAGGCGCTTAAAGCAGGCAGCCGGATGACCGCCAAACTATAGGCTACTAGATTTCGCATTGTTTTACATCTATACCCAAGTACTTGCAAGAAGACTGTGGCAGGGGATCAAGTCTGGGATAAACACCGGTGCTCTAAACGGTTGTCATCGGTTGCAATGTATATAAGGGCGAGCTCATTAGCATTGTGATAGCTCAATCCATAATAATCATTTATCAAATGAAGCTAGTGGAGAGCGATACCTATATTCGTTTCGCTATTACAAGAAATGACGAGGGCTGCTAAGAGATCGGTATTGTAACCACCGGAACTGACCCACTTGGGGCCGGAACTTGCACCAACATTTACCTGAGCTGCTACATATCCACGGCGATGAGTGGAGCAAAGTGAAATGGAAATGATGCGTACAGACACATCAGGACGGCGGTTTACCAAGAGCGCAACTTGGATATAACGTAGAAGCAAATCCAATAATCCTCCCCACTACCCAACTCGGTGATGTGATGTACGGTCCACGTTATACACCTTTTGATCTAGTACAAGAAGGGTGGCCAACTCTAAGTGGTAAGCTGTATACACGATCGACGCTATCCTATGCGACAACCGCCAGCCATACCGAGATATGTAAGTGGGCGATTTTTATATAAATATAAATATATATATAAATGTCCTATCGATGAGATGAGATATCAGCTTAGTACCTGCTACTGCGATAAATTCAAGTTGGCTGTTGTTACGGAATAAAGCATCACAAGTGGGCACAGGTATAATTGACGTCACCACTCACGTAGCATAGACATATCGTCATATCTCACGCGCTGCGAATGAACATAAAACTTTTAACTAAGTAGGTCAATTCGGCTATTTACTTGGCTAAAATCGTCTTCAACTGAAATTACGTTGAGTTACTAAACACCTTGGGCCTCGTTGACCAACTTTCAATCATATATATATTCAGATATCACATAGGAACAAGTCTGGCCATGTCGGAAACCCGTGATTTCTCTGCACAAACCCTCTTCAATGTCAAGGGTTTCGTGGCCGTCGTTACCGGCGGCGGTACGGGCATCGGTTTAATGGCAACGCAAGCCCTCGCCGCCAACGGCGCCAAAGTCTATATCACGGGGAGACGGATGGAGGCTCTTGAAAACGCGGCCAAGGAACACCAGCCTGCCAGCGGCGAAGGCCAAATCATCCCGCTCGGGCCATGCGATGTGACGAAGAAAGAAGACCTGCTGCGCCTAGCAGACGAGGTCGCCAAGAAGGAGAAAGCCATCAACCTCCTAGTGTGCAATGCGGGCATTTCTGGCCCCAAGGCCGAACCAGAACATGAGGACGCTGAAGACCTGCGTTCGCGCCTCTGGGATAATGAGGAAGTTGGCGACTGGCAGGATAATTACCAAACGAACGTCACAGCCGTATACTTTACCACAGTGGCCTTCTTGCCCCTCCTGCAGGCCACTATGAGACCGAAGGGCTCGCTTGAGCCGTACTCGGCATCCGTGATAACCATCTCAAGCAGTTAGTCCCCCCAAAGCAGTCTATTTCCTTCCTAGAGGTGGATCTCAGAGCTCAAAAATACCCCCGTCATATCCACGGAAAATATGGGCTTCAATTTTTTTTTTTTGGTTTCCGTTTAGTAAATACTAATTTTTACCCGTAAACAGTGTCGGGCATCATGCGACACGCCCAAGGGCACTTCAGCTACAACACCGCCAAGGGCGCCACCGTACATCTGACGAAGCTCATGTCTGCCGAGTTCCAGAAGGCCGGCATCCGCGTCAACTCGATTGCGCCGGGATACTTCCCGAGCGAGATGACGGCCAAGGAGAGCGACGACCGGCAGAAGAGCCACGTGCCCGAGGAGAAGATCCAGGAGAAGAACCACGTTCCCCTCGCGAGGCCGGGGAGGGAAGTCGAGATGGGCATGTCCGTTTTGTATTTGGCGAAGAACCAGTATGTCAACGGTGAAATAATCGCTGTGGACGGTGGTGTATTGAATGTCGTTGCTGGAAGGTAGAATCGGGCGTTATATAATATTAGTATGGTCGGGTCCAACAAGCGTTCGAAAATAAGTACATAATGTGTTAGCTGTATATTAGTATACATCCCGGCGAAGGCCGATCGATTAGTCTGATATCATTAGATCGGTACAGCTACGTACTATGGAGTTGGATAGGAGCATGTAGTCCCGAAAATTATGCTATCCTTTAAACACCACCTTCCACTGACTGTATACTCCCGTTCGGAAACTCTGCTCCAGATCGACTTGTTGTTGCGGCTACGAAAGTTCAGCGATCGCGCAATTCAGAGCCAATCAATACGCATTAGTGCAAATCATAATGTGTCAAGATTATAGACCATAAGCCATGTGTGTGATCATCGCACACCACCTAAACGTCATCATCGACGCCTCTAGTTGACTGTGGTCGTATATCTAAGCATACTCCTATCCTACCATGGACTTTTCAAATAAGATGTGATATTTTCAACGAGGCCTTTACCATATAACTGTTCCCAAGTCTCACGGAAACATGGTAGGCAAGCCAAGTTTTAGGCACGGCAAAGTGCAGCTGTCCTCGCTCCAGTATGTAGTTCTGACACCTTCACGTCGTCTTGTTTGGCCTTCTGGTTACCTATGCCCTATCCACTGATAACCTAACATGGAGAGGTTTAACAACTGAGATGTCATAGGGCGGATTTCGTCGCTGCAACAGGCGAATTCGTGGGGACGTTCTGGTTCCTGTTCTTCGGATATGCTGGTCACCTAATGGTCCTTGATGAAGCCGCAACAGCGACAAACTTGGGCCCATCGGCGATTATATATATTTCGCTTGCATGGCGAGTAATACGCGAGGCGATTGGCTGTATATCAAGCTAACCATCCCGCAGTAAGTGATTTCCGGATGCTTCGCCGCCCATTGTTGGGCATGCTCTTTATGTCGCGCCGATTAGTAAGAGCGGTCATGCTCTGAGCCTCATCTAACGGGAAGACAGATGGGTTCTCTCTTCTCGTGAGCGTATGGTCAATGTATAGGATCAGTGGCGGATTTTTCAACCCAGCAGTATGTCGCTTACTCGCCGCACCCTCAAGGGGCACCCTCATCACGGCTGACCAATACGACTATGTTTGTGTATAACATTAGGTCACGTTCGGATTATCCCTATGTGGACGTCTGCCTTGGCTGAGGACTGCTATCTTCATCCCTTCACAGCTGTTGGCATGTATTTCTGCTGCTGCTGTTGTGAAAGTCCTCTTCCCTGGCAATATCGGCTCGTTAAACACGGCATTGGCACCCGGTGTCAACGTGGCACAGGGACTATTTGCTGAGATGTTCTTCACCTCATACCTTGTATTCGTTGTATTGATGCTCGCGGTTGAGAAATCGCGGGATACTTTTGTAGCACCTGTGGGGATCGGACTGGCCCTATTCGTGGCCGAGATTCCAGGTTTGTGCACCTTCATAGTATTGAGATTTCGCCTCGCAGAATTCAATTTACTAAATGAATGATAGGGGTATATTTTACTGGGGGTTCATTGAATCCAGCGCGCAGCTTTGGATGTGCCGTCGCAACTCCTCGCTTTCCTGGCTATCATTGGATATACTGGGTTGGGCCGGGTTTAGGCGCAGCCTTAGCTGCGGCATACTACCGATTTGTGAAGATGTGCCACTATGAGGAAGTCAATCCAGGACAGGACGCATCCAATTCCGAGGAGTATATTACGGCGGTTTCGAATGAAGGACAGGAAGTTAACGGGGTCAATCGAGTATAAAAGGGACTATGCGGCTTGTGGTGATTGTCATGATGCTAACCATGCGCTATGTACACTATACTATGTAAGGCAGCTTTGGCGCAGAGACGGGCGCGGATTGCCGGCCCCCAAATCCCACCATTACCAGTTGATTTCGCAAAAGTAACCTTGGAAATGATTCATCTGTATACTGTTGGCTCTCTCACCGTGGCTATGTCGATTTGATGACTGCTGTGAGTCAAAGCTGAAGGGGTGGAGATGCACGGACCAGCCTAGACGATGCTAGGTTAGGACTTGGTGCTGCATCTAGGTATTGAGTCATATCTGCCTACCTACTATGTACCTAATAGATAGAGCAGTATAGAGGACTTACCTAAGCTGCTGCAGAAAGAGAAACAGTCACACAATCCTTCTGGGAGCTTGGGCAAGACTTCTTACAGCTCTCATAAACCATCCAACTCCCTTTGTATTTGCTGTGTCTGACTCTGCGGTTTCATTCGCAAAACTGCTGATCAGATGTCTTCCACCACCACCACCATCATCATCCACTGTTATGCCTAAGAAACGACGCCAGACCAAATACTCTAAGCCTCCGTCTGTCGCACCGCCAGCATTGCGACTTTCATCGCCGTCGCACTCGACTTCGGGTGAGTATTTGCTATTGCTTCACCCGCCTGAAGCTTCTTCTCCAACGACTAGCTAATCGTGAATCGACTCCTAGAACATCATGACCGATCAGTTAACGAATTGCTCGCAAACCTGCGCCGGAGCACCCTGAACTCCCACCCCACCGCCGCTGTTTCTAGCTCCGGCTTCTCGGCTGTCACGACGCCCAGCGTACCCCCGGCATTGCGTCAACTTTTTCAGCTTCCCGAGGCTCCCACGCCCGCTCCACGTCGTCCTCAGAGAAGGGATCCGAGCGGTCGTCGTCCTCCTCCCGGACCACCCCCGCCTCGCAGCTGGGTTACACTATCACAGGCACAACACGCACCGCCTTCCTCTAGCCCTAGGGACGATGGTACGCACGGTCATAATAGATACTGGCCTATGCCTGGGGCTTACGCCCCGGCTGAGGGAAGCCTAGTAGATATGGTTCTAAAACGTATAGCTCTTGACTGGGCCCAACAACGGTATGCCTCCTCTGTAGTCGTTGTCTTCCTATTTTAAGCGCTCGTGGAGGCCATGGCAGTCTGTTGAAGCCACGGGTATATCTCAGGGGTATACACAACTACTAGAAACTGCTCCTGCTCTATCTGAAAGAGTAATCACTGACTTCAGCGAACGATAGTGACTGGAATCGTTTTTACCTCTACACGCTGCCCAGCCGGTTACGGTCGGCACTGTTGGCCCATGTCTCCGACATGTATAGCCCTGGCCTGTCGATAGCAGATCTACAGCTCGTCTTATTAGGCCCATCGGAGGGCGAACTGAGCGAGTATGGGCTGGAGCCACCTGATGTGAATAGCATCAACTCCGATTTCTTTTGCCTGGATTTGACAGGCTCATTCGGCAGGTCACTAAGCATGAAGGAGTTGCACGAATTGCTTTTCGGGTCTAGAAAGACCACTGTGCCCGCCGAGGATGTTGTACAAGACTCATGGGACTTACCAGCGCCAAGCGCTGGGCCCGTTGACTTGCTGCCAAATTTGACGCACCTGTCGTTAGCCATAGATCCGAGCTCGACGCCATCGGTGTCCTGGAAACAGCTTTTGTCAGTCGCCGGAAAGCTTACTCGGCTTACAGAGCTTAGCTTAGCTTATTGGCCGGAGCCTTCACTCACACCAAACGCCAAACTTGCCAAAGTCACCTCGCCGACAACTGGGCATAGCGTTCAATACGGTGGAACGGGGCCGTATAGCCACAGTCTAGATGGAGACTGGACTGAGGCAATCCTAGTTTTGAAACGCCTCAGCCGACTCCTTTATAGTCTCGAATACCTCGACCTTACTGGGTGCAATGACTGGGTTCGTGCTTTACGGGAAAAGTCGGACGGCGAGTTTCGAGTGGACTTTGTAGATTGGGTAGGGGACTGGGGTAAGATCTCAGCGTTGCGGCTTAACTCGGGATATGCTATAACGGCAGACGATGCGCCCAAGAGCGAAGTGCTTCGGTTCTCGGAATGGATCGAGGAGGCTACGGCGGTAGAAAAGCATATCCGGGCACAGCGCGCCGGGCGGGGCCGATTCATCACAGTCGAGCGGGATGCTCTGTCTGAGACGGCCCAAGCAATTGTAGATAGCGAGATGGTCATCAACTCGCTGCATTGATTGCAGTCAGAGTGGATTATTGGTAATCTGACTTACATCGATATACTCTTTAACTATAGAAATATTCAATGATATATCTTATTTCTTTTTTTTTATGCTCATAGCACTAGGTAGGGCTTTTAAAGGCACACAATTGTATCTGGCAGTCGCGCTAACCTGGCAATGGTCGACTGATCATTACCTAAGTATGTACTTGTACCTTAATCAACCTAGGTACTTCCGTACTAAATGTGGGAAGTGGTTGAAGGTATGAACAGTATATACATATCTATGTATCCGTGGTAGATGCATGGTTACCTACCTACCAACCTAAATAAAATAAGGCTCGCGTTTCACATTTCCGCGACGTTCGCCAAAAGAGACGAAGGGTTGGCGGCTAGCTCTGAGCGATCGATATCGATCCCCTGTCCCGGGGCGCTTAAGCCGCAGGATGCAGCCCGCGCGATAGGTTGACTGGATGCCGCCGTCTGTGGGCGAGAACCGTTTGGGGGCGCTGGAGGGGTCTTCCTTAGACAACGGCCACGATATGACGCAACCTCTGTCCAATCAACATCTTCCTTGTTGTCCAGATTAGGAATGCCCTCTGGCAAGAGACAGATAAGTAGGTAGGTATGTATGTACAATATCGGTGCTGTACCTAGGTATGGGGTACAGTACTTTGTAGATACTTGCCTAGGCTACCTGTATACGGTAGTACTGCAAACTTATAGTAGGTACCTACTGTACCTAGGTACCGATCTTAGCTCTCTATCGCGTGTGAAAAGTTGAAGCTAGGAGGAGTGACATACAACCGCCTGTTGAGGGTTTCGACTCGTTTTTCTTAGTCTTTTTAGAAAGTTCTCTATATATATTTATAGATGAGAAAAAGCTCGCTGATTAATGTGAAGCGACGCGCCCGGGTCCAGGGCTCTTCCGGCGGCAATAGGCGCCAGCTAGGTGGATTAGTCTTGGTACTCCCTGTAATGCAGGGTAGGTAGGTACATTAGCATTTCGACCCTTGTCCATGTGAACTATCAACCCAATTGTACATGAATTCCATCGTGCTTTGCGACCTGAGATGGGAGGCTTCCTGTCCAATCGATGCTAGCCTGGGGCTCTTTTGCCATGTCGTTATTATTCCCTTTCTTTGTTGTCCGTTCTTCTACGAACATGATTTTAACCTGCTCTCTCTAATCTACTTCACCTTTTGTCAAGCCAAGCCATTCTTACTTTTTTTTCTTCTCACCATCTCATTCTTCGAGCAACTGGTTGCTAGAAGCAGTGTACCTTTTTTTAATAGTCTTCGTCTTCGTCTTCATCTTCATCTTCGATTTTGATATTGATTTTATCTTCTCATTCCTTCAGAAATAGCAAATATGGTCGCCCCAAGACAGCCATCGGTAGGCTTGCTGCTACCACCGGTTCTCATCTCCTTTGTTGCGTTCGTGCTGGCAATGATCGCACTCCTGGCTGGGACCGGGCCGCAACAAGAGTCTCTAGAGCCTTACCACCTCATTGCGGTACGTCGAAGTAGTCGCACCAAAATTTCCGCGGGTCAGGCTAATAGGGACCCTTCAGGTTAATCTATCCAACTTTGGTCAAGATCTCATTGCGTCGTCGACAACGTCTGATCCTAAGCCAACGGAGACGAGTGGTGGCAGTTTGTTCGATGACATCGCGGATGACGTGCGCGGCCTTGGTCAGGACATCACCGACGGCATCAATAATCTCACAAACGGGGTCGCAGACAAGATCACGGAGGAGCTTGGCATTTCGGAGTGGTACAGCTTACATATCATGAGTATCTGTGAGGGAATGTTCTCGCCGAATGCATCAGCTCCAGGCGCATGGTATAACATGACCAACTGTACCACACAACAGCCACGTACGTGATACTCTTGGTAAATTCTTCACGCGGGTACGGTGCTAACCAACTCATCCATAGTGAGGCTAAACCTCAGTGCGATTCTTGATCATGAGATCAAAGCCGGGCCCTTGAACTTGAACATCAATCAAATACCAATTCCCGACTCGGTCCAAAATGCCGTCGATACCGTCAACGACGCGATTCGTGCTTTGCTCGTTATCTACGCACTAGCGAGCGGCCTCACGGGGCTGACCTTCCTGGTTAGCCTAGCGGTTGTGGTCCTCTTCCGGAAGAGAGTCCACATGCTGATTGTGTGGGCCAACATGTCAATTTCAGGTCTCGGAGCCTTGGTGCTTCTGATTGGAAGTGCGGTCGTCACTTATGTCAATAACAAAGCCATCAAGGAGATTGACGACGCGGGCAAAGACGTAGGGATCTCGGGTATCCGAGGATCCAAGTTCATCACGCTTTCTTGGATCTCTTTCGGCCTCATGCTCTTCATATCGCTATACTGGACTGTTGCGACGCTCAAGTACACGCAGAGATGGATCATCATTGCAGATAGACCCCGGCTGCGCAGCAAAAAGATCCTCCCATAAGGCGTGGTACCGTCCCTGACTCATGTTGGCGGGAGTGTGTCTGGCGCAGGAGATTGTTTGATATGCATCCTCTTGTGAGGGTGATGATAATTAATGCTACCTAAGGTTTCGGCGACAGCGGTTTTGATTTTCGGGAGAAAGCATTCCATTCGATAGACAGGCGGTGCAAACCTGGATGAACAGATTGGCAGGCACAATGGTTCTCTTTTCACGGGGGGAAGGAAGCCATCGCTGGCAACCCCTCAATATTTGTACTGGTGGATGGCCTTGACACTAGCACTAATTAAGGTAGTAGGTACCTAGATAGGTAGCGAATCACGTATCTGGTAATTAATAGGCAGTTCATACTTAATGAATGCAGACATCCATTTACAAATTGTGCCATGTGCTGTTACAATCTCCAATGTTGCTTACATATGTACCTTGTGTAGATATATAGACAGACAATCTGATTCGGGGGCCTTTGGTTTAGTAGGTAGGTATTTACGTGGTAATTACATGGTTAGCCAGTGCACGCACGCACTTGCCTCAACTCCTATCTACCAATGTAGGTGTTCTAAGGCGACAGGGATGACCTCATGCGCACTCCTTGACAAAGGAAGGCCGTCTCCTCCCCACCCACGTCCAGCCAGCTCGACTTAGCCCCACGCCGACGGCGACGACGACGACGATCGTTCCATTCCTGCACACTCTCCTTGGCTCTCTGAACGGCCCCTGATAAGAGAAATAGAGGCGGTAACCCTCACTCTGTCAAGCGAACGTCACAGCCCGCTCACTCATTTCGCTCCATAACCACATAGTCGCAAAGCCAGACTTGAGCTGATTCATTTCTCTGCAACATTTACATTCCTTTCACGTTCGCCTTTTGCTGCCCGCCATGCCTCTTCTCTACGGCTCATCGTCCAATAATGACGACGAGCAACAGAGCTTGATTGAACAAAGCGAGGCACGTGCAAAGCGCGTGTTCGCTGGCTTCATCGAATTTGCCTTCTCCGGCAACATCCTTGAAATTGCCTTTGGGTTGATGTAAGCCACCATCATCATCGTCGTCACCTTTCCTCGTTCCGTGGTCTTGGAACGCTGCTCAGTACCCCTGTTGGCATCCATCCACTATAATGACCCAGCCTACCAGATGAGATAAGCTGTACTGTAGCACAGCATTCAATTCCAGTGATAGATTGCAGTGTCCGTACTGAGAACAGCACAACTTGACGCTGACAGCGACACCACTCAACAACAGTCTAGCCAATGCCTTCACAACCGTCACAACTTCATTCGTAAACGATATTCTTCTTCCACCGTTGTCCGTGCTGTTGCCTTTGAATCGTAACATGGATGAGAAATTCCTCGTTCTGAAAGCTGGCCCCAACTACGAAGAGCAAAACGGATACAACACCATCGACCTCGCACATGAGGACGGCGCAGTAATTCTCGCTTATGGGTACATTTTTCCGGTTATTATTCCGGATTCTTCACTCCAGTGCTAACTAGCCCGTGTTTCTCAGTGGGTTTATCCGACACGTCGTCAGCTTTCTCTGTCTTGGGCTCATGCTCTACGTTCTCGCCTCCGTCTACCAATACTTCTCGAAAGATGACATCATCAAGTATACTGTCAAATGTCGCTATTGCAAGAAACGCGTTAGCGTAAAGGTCAACACCCAGCAGCGCTCACGTTTCGGCTTTCTTTGGCATTGCTAACCTATCTCCAGGCAACCCGCTGCATCAACTGCACTAGCTGGCTCGATGGCCGTGAAGAGCGCATGCGGTGAGAGGTTCATATTCATGTGCAAAATACACCCCACAATCTGTAGAAGCTTGCATTTACATGTGTCCAAGGATAGACGTTATGTAAAGAACTCTAAGCGAGTGAAATATCACGCTCATGGAGTTGAAGCTCCTAGCATTTTTAAGGTTAAGATTAACAACAGACTTGATATACCCAGGATATGTCAGCCTGTTGTATTATATACCACCCAGCACAATATGTATATAGAGGTCCATATACCCATGCAAGCTCACAGCAGCGGCATCAGCAATTTGATTTAGACATGGTCGGTATCGGGCTTCTTCTTCTTCATACATGGGCCCCAAAACTTGGGTGGCGTGCCGGTTGGCATGGGGGGGAATCCACCAGGAAATCCACCCGGGAATCCAGTCGGGAAACCTGAAGGAAAGCCAGTAGGGAATCCTGAAGGGAAGCTAGTAGGGAAACCTGTAGGGAAACCTGAAGGGAAGCCGGTAGGGAAAGGGAAACCACCCGGGGGAATAGTAAAATTGAACCTAGGCGAAGTATCGACACCACCTTCCCTGTAATACCAGGCGCCGGCCGATACCATAGCATCGTAGTCAGCAGTACCATTGATACCGATAGTCATGTACATGAGTAGCCCATCGTTAGGATCCTCGCTTAGCATAATATAGTCTAAGAAGGGATCGTAGTCACGGCTCGCCTGCTGTGCCGTCAAAAAGTCTTCGGTGTTGTACATTGCTTTATACTGATTGCGTGAATAGGGGCTCATGCCCTCAATGGCATTAATCAGCTCTTGATCAAAATATAACTGTCCGACTACGAGAATCAAAGTCAGTCATTGTTCGTTATAGCTCGGTTCCGTAAGCATCTAGTTCACTTACTGTGGTTGACGGTCCCACCAATGTACGTTCCGTTCTCGAGAACCTTGCCGCCGCGGTTGGTAGTAACATGGATGTGGTTGACACGCCCAAGATAGTGACCGGGGAAAACAGTGTCGAAATTCGCGACGCCCTCGTTGTCCGAGAGCTGCACTCCGCGTAGAAATGTCGTGTTCAAACCCGCGCCGTCCACAACGCCCGAGTAGACGCCCGTGGCGTTCGCATGCCATACATCAACCAGCATGTTAGGAACCGGCGCACAGGTTGATGTGTCGACTAGATGAAGACGAGAGTAAGAACTTTTCTGGCTCCGAAGATCAAGCTGGGGACTCCCGAGGGCTTACCGAACTGGAGGTCCAGGTGGACTGGAATTCCGTCCTGGTTTTCGACGATGTTTGAGCGAATGGATTCACCGTGGACCCAGTAAGGGCCAATTATCGTCTCCGGAGCCAGTCCGATGGTAGAATTAGTACCGAATATCGTGCCGTGAGGCGTCGACTTGGACCAATCTGCGTGGGCCCCCGTTTGATCGTGGCACGTCTGTAGGTATTCGTCTAGAATATTCTGGTTCTGTCGCGCTTTCATGCGTGCTAATTTGCCGCAAGTCAGCTTGTTGTTTCCGTGCCGTTCCAGGCACCGACGATGCGGGACCAGGACAAGGTAAACTGACTATGCTCAATATCTCGCTTCCCACGCAACGCCGCCGCCTTCGCGGCACGTCTTAGAGCAGCCCTTCGCGCCATGGCTTGCCCATTCACGCTGCTTTTACACTGCAAGAGGGCCGCCTCCGCATTTCGAATCCCTATCTCGTTGTGGTGAAGATCCCGTCGTCGCTTGGCTGCATCGTGATGCTCTCCTGGGTGTGCTAGACCCGAGCCGCAGAGGGCCGCGATCAAGAGGACTCTCAAACCCATCATCGTGAATCGGGCGATACGTTCGCGGATGAAGATTACTGATACCGAGATGGGCGAGACAATTCCTTCCCTCAATTCCAACCTTCCCGCTACCCTCGCCGGAACTTATAAAGAGAGGTGAATATTCCAGTTTGCGCGGAACATAATTATGGAGCAGTTGTGGTGATTAGCCGGCCTTAACATTCTGGGCAATCTCTGTCTCTGCATATCAGCTTAGCCGTGATAGAGCACATGACGTGGACTCGACGATTTACAATGGCTGTGAGTGGCCGCTTGAAATTATTCTCGAAATTGCCAGTGTCTTCCTTCGAAATTATGGTACGAGTTCATTTACTTGTGACTCTAAGCACGACCACCTCCTCATCTGCCGACCCTTTGCTGAATACTGTGATGTGCCTGGCCGCCCCAGAAATGCCCGGAACGTTGCGGTGTACTTTTTGGGAGTAGCCGGAAGGCGGTCTCGAGCCGATGTGTATAGGTATATGGGTATGTAGCTCGAATCTCTCGGGATCTAGGCGGCTGAATCGCTAAAGCCCTGTACACGGCATATACTCCAGATTGGACGGTGCTGATCATTGTCGGTATTGGCACTCGAATTCAACCGTTCTCCATCCGATATTCTACAGGAAGTTGGGATTCTTGCTAGGTTTTCTCTCCCACAAGTTGATTAGTAAGAATTGCGATGGTGTTGATGTTAGTGGTATCTAGATAGCAGTATGTAGCATCACGCCTCGGTTCAAGTAATGATAGTGATGTCGCATTTCAGTACTAGAAGTGGTTGGTGCAGCATATCTCGCGAATCTATCCTTTTGAACGCGGTGTTATAGTATGTACTGTTTCATTTAGAGAAATGATCAGGGACCGACGGCCCACGCATTCTTCTTGCTCAAGAATCGAGGTGTGTTATGATCCCCATCGAGGTTCACTCTAGAACTCAACTAGTCTATCTAGGCGGAAAAAGACTACCTCCAATCGTTTCCCCACGGCATGGTGCAACTGACAAGCTTCTCAAAATGCCATAGGCATCTTATGATATGTCGCGTAGCTAGTACGGCTGGACAATGCCTTTCACGATACACGCCCCTGAAACAAGACCGACGCACTTGTTCTTTATCTTTAGATTATAAGCATAGCACGTCATCGTTGCTTTAGAGGGACACATAGATTACTTGTGAATGAATGACATGTGCTTGAAAATGAAGATTTGCTCCTGTTTATTTAGCCTTGCCGGCCTTCCAAGACCGTTGTTGTAGTGAGTGTGATATAGTCATCGTCGCCTTCCGTAACTGTCTGTACCCGGGGCACAGGATGACATTGATATTATCAATGAGAGTAAGTATTATTAAACATGAGAGTCCCACGGCTTAGAAAAGGACCGTCTCCTGGCCGCATCCTGCATCGCCCCCAGTGTGAACGCTCAATCGTTAAGCCGTCCAGAGCCTTAGACACAATATGGCAGGTTGTTAGGGTAGACCTTGCAAGTGGTACCCTTGTCGCATTTGCCGCCGTCCTGATTGTTGAACACACAACATGTTAGCACCGAGACACCATTATACTTTAACTGTGTAGTAGGGCTACCATAACCCGATGCTGTACAAGGAGAGGAAATAACAAAGAATGATGATGAACTTATTCAGGGAGAGGATTGACTAACAAGCCATGTTCCGTCCACGTTACAAACAAGCCACCCCGAATGGTCTGGCTTGCAAGTATACGTGCCGGGAGTGCACTGCTTTCCGCGGGAGTCCAAGCCGGTGGCAGCGGCCAGGGCCGTAGTAGCAAGAGCAGCGATAGCAATGAACTTCATTTTGTCTTAGCTTGAGAGCTCGTAGAGATAACTATTGAATGATTGGGTCTAGTTGGTGATCTGAGAGGTGATGTTGTGCTGAAGGCTACGGATGTTGTGATCACCTACACTGGGCGACAACGAGCCTATTTATACCTATGGATATGACAGCACCATGTTCTCAGCCCTTATTCATAGATAGCCTGCATTGCAATCGGTGCCGTATTCAATTCTAGGACTTGTCGGGCTATGGCATAAGTCTTGCTGAACACCATGATGCGCTGGGGAACACCATTCAGCTTCCGACGGCTGCGAAAGGCTGAGAGGGGCGCTTCACCGACTCACCCTAACCATCGGACGCGTCCTAATTACGATGGCGTTCTAAGCTCACTGAAAGCAGTTGCGATGTTCAGGACTGAGCTACAATTCGTAAACCTCCTTAGTCGTCGGCCACTAGCGCTGTAAGATCATGTCATCTGACCTGATTAGTGGGCAGCAACACGAAGGCGTGCGAACCGCTCTCGCCAGGATCATGCTGTCTTAATCGTGATACGAACGCATCTGAATCATGACTCTTGGTAATACGCAAGGGATGTGAATGGCGTCCTGGAGCTGTTCTTCACGAACATCACTGCCACATATTAGTGCCATCGCGGCTTTCAGCGCGTACTACGTAAGGAGCCGGCCGGTCGATTGAAGTACGTAATAAATTGCCGGAACTGTGTCGTTGCTTACAGCACTTGTATAGAACGGCTGGCTACGCATTCGAACTACGGCGATTACGACTGGTGGGACTAGACATAATTTGCGGCAGCAGCGGGGGAACGAATCAGATTTCATAAGAGCTTCGGTCACTTAGAAAATGGGCGTCCAAGAACGCCTTTGGCTGAATAGAAGCCACGGAACTGCAGTGATCATATAAGCTGACGAACAACGCATCCTGAAGTCGTGTGTTCGCCAAAACTAATTGGGTCTCACAGCTGGTATGAGTCGATCTCTGATTGATAGGAGAAATTCACTAACCGACTTTCGATATTTGTCGGTCAAGCTTTGGTTCAGGTGAGTATCTATATGATTATGTTGTATGACTGGTCTTACCCCCAGCTGCCATCCGTGAGCTGGGCTTAGATTTTCCTCTAGCGAAAGTACAGATATTGAGGACGTACGTCATGGCCTTGCTGTATCAGTCATTCCGGTCCTGGATACGCCTCCTCACTGCTGCGTGCAGGATTCGGAACCATATTCGTCGACTAGTTGACTTGCGTACGTGCTACGTCCTTGGGCTTAGCACTACTAGAGACTTCGCCAGCTTGTAACACCTAGTGAATGAGTTAGTCGGCTGGCGTGTGGTCAGAGACATCAGCTTATTGAGCACTACTCACGTTGTCCTTCTTAGCCCAGCGCTGCATGATGATAGCGAGATTCTTGCTCCCTACCACTACACACCAGTCGCCATGAGCACTCCACGCAACTTGGCGCCCAACAAAGTCCTTAACAGTGATGTTGCTTTGCACGTGGGCTCTAACTGGCTCCTCTACACGAGTCAAGTCATACTTTCCCTCCCAGGAGTCGAGGGTTTCATGTCCGTAATCAGTGTTAATATCAACGTGAGTTTCCGCATCTACGCTACCTGTACGGCCGGAGAACACAGAATCCCTGTCGCTTACAGCATCTTTAAGCTTGTTAACAGCATCGCCTTTATGCCTGTGTTGAATTGGAACAAGCCATCCTGGGCGATGGATAGGCTGTAATTGATCCCGAGCCGGATCTCTTATTTCGTTTATAAAGTCGTGATATCCCAGCAAGCGTGTGAGGTCCCAGAAGAAAATTGTCGAGTGAGCATTGCCGAAGGCAAGAACTGGGTGTTTCCCCTTTTTCTGATATAATTTGAAGCGGAGATAAAACTGATGACCACAATTGGGTGTATAGAATTGAAGTAACCGGGTATACTGTGGCGGACATGACGATGCTGTCGCTGGTGCAAACGCAGAACGAGTCAGTCGTTCTGTGTCGCTGGTCGTGGGGGCTTCATTTGGGGTTGGAGGGGGGTCCTGAGATGAGAAACCCTCAATACGCCAAAGTACAATGATATCTTCGTGACAGGCTCGCGATAGAATGAGATCGCCAAAGAAAGCCACGCTTAAGGGGGGAATTAGCCATACTTCGGATCAGAATGGGTTAGAGAGGTTTACCAGTCGACGATACCACTGTGCACTTCAGAGGTGAAGAAGTGTGGATAATGAATTACAACAGGCTCGGGCGGATTACGGCCACTCTGCGGTGGCGGCAGATCAGGCAATGTCCACTACAAAATGTCAGTATCCACACCGACTGCGCATTGTTCTTTTCCATACATACCAAGCAGACAACATTATCATGGCCAGCCGAGAGAACATATCTACCACTGCTATGGAAAGCCTTAGAAACGCGTTAACTATAGCCGTCTCATGAAAACTAAAAAGGGCATCAGGAAGCTACTTAGACAACATACCACTGTCAAGAGATGTGCTGAATGGCCCTCTCCTGCAAGCAGGCATACACATGGCTGTTTTGCCCATGCTGGATCGAGGCTCCAAATGCGGATGGTCGTATCATCGGATGCAGATGCAATCAGTTGACTATTCGTAGGACATGTTGCAAGATCGTTGATTTCCTGATACAGATGAGCCGTGTTCAACCGATGAGCCTGTAAAACTCACGCCTCCATGGCCAACAAGAACCTGCATATTTTCATTCAGTCGTCAGCACAGGTGACTATCTTTTGTTCACTAGTAGAGGCTCACCTTGACCAACGTGCCAGCTATGACATCGTAAACCTTGATCTTGGAATCCCGACCAGCAACGCATAGCCAGGGCGCCTCTGTTTCCGGGTCTATAGACCAGGTACAGCTGCAATTGAGCGCATCTGGCTATTGACAGTTACTAATACGGTCATTTCGAGGATTTTCAGGAAACGTACATCATCGTCTCTGATCAACTGGACGAGTTCGTAGGGGGGATTCAGTTTGTTTGAAAGTCGATATATGACAACCTAGTCGATATAAGATCGTGATCAGGCAAGATTTCGAGAACTTACATGTTTCTTGCTAACTGCAGCAAAGATGGCGTCATGTGCCTCATCGGCATATGGGTAGAATTTAACATCAAAGAATTCTAAACCTACTGTCAGAAGCTTGAACTTGATGTTCGATGCAGGGTCCTACCAGTATCTTGGTCATCTGATGATAGGTACTGAAAATCATCCTTGAATTCGATTTTCAGAATCAGCGAGGGAACACTAGGGTCAGTGAAACGAACGTCAAGAAATCTCACCTCAAAGCCTATTGAGGCTCGTAATCGGGGCAAGTCCCACTCGTCCTGGTTGACAGTGGACGGCATGGCGACGCAGCGCGGCCTAAGAGCGATCTAACTCAACTTGCAACGAAATTCAAACTACATGTGAATGTGGTGGAGACTAGCGCAGATGGGTGTTTCCAGAATAGTAGGCCGCTTCACGATACGTAACGAAGCTCGACGCGATCTAGAGCTTCACACTTTGGGGCTATACAGAGACAGTCTTGCTGTTCGCTGATGGCTTTCGTCCTCAAGCAGGAAAAATCGCTCGAGGAACATTGTTCTCATTCGGCGGTCATATCAACATAAGAGTGTTAAAGGAAGATTAGTCTTGCAGCATTATGAGCGCCTGAGATGACATGGGAAAATAGCAAGGTATAATATCGTGACGCTGCCGATAATTGATTGATTAAACCTGGGATAGGCCGAGCTGTGGCGCAGCGACTAACTGGCTTAGGTAACTAAGGTACCCAACTCGCCAAGCTGCTTGCTCTTTTACCTTCTAGGTACTTATTTTACGGTGCTCAAAATGCACGCGCCACAGATTCAGCTGCGTGGCTATGCCCCCGCCCCCCGGGCAGAGGTACCTAACCAGTACCTTCCCAACATTTTCCCAGCACGAAGACCAGACCTCTCCAGGAGTCAGGACTCAGTATCCTAGAAGCTACAGAGTATATATATATATATATCGGCCAATGAATAAGTTATGCATCAAAACAACATATGATTAACCTCCTTATACACAATGCGGTATCTTCGTGGTGGTTCACATGTATGTACCTATGTTATTATGATATGTACCCGGCTCCAAGCTCGCCGCTGCATAGTATAATATCAGGGCCATCACTATCGAGCAAAACGAAAACCATGACTTGCATTTAATGTAAGAGAAAAATAGTTATGGATAAGACATAACTTCTACACTTTTCTCTAGAATTGGCTTAGTACTCCTCTTCTAAGAGTTGGCGTGGTAAACGCTAGGTGCCATCATATATCGACCATTCCCAACGCCTCCATGGAAGTTCTTCCTGAGAGATCGCCAGCGTCTGAGGACCCATATACTTGGGGCAAGAGCTTGGCGCTATGCCAAGCATACAAGTAGTAAGGCTCCCAGGTGACATCAGTATAAGGAGTAACAGGGTCCGCGAGCATAGCGGTATTGATGGCTGCCGATGTCCGGAACGAAATAGGCCCCAACAAACATGATCAATCCCAGAGGCCTGCTCATGGATATGCGTAGGCTCCATGTAATAGTAGCGAGTATTACAACTAATATGATATTCGTAACAGCATTTGGATTAGAGCTTGTAGTGGCATGCTTTGAAGTAGTAAAGAAATATCAGTGTTGCTAACCACCATCGCTAAGTTAGATGTGTTAGTCAAGCCAAAAGGTTACTTGAGGTAGTGCACTTAGTGTACAATCGGACCTGCTTCCTCCCCCCTCCCCCACAATGCCGAGTACGCTCAGTGTAACACTTTCTTCCTATCTATTTATGTCCTTAGGATATACAACTTGTAGGTATGACCTTGTTTTCTACATTCTCGGCCTAACTTACGAAAACTAGCCGGAAAATCTATGAAAAGCTACGAAACGCCTCACCCAGAGAGGCCCGTGGCCGTTTAATGGGTTGACGGTCCCAACACTACTATAATATGTCTCATAAAATGTCATGGCTGGAATAGGAATGATAGTGTCGCTGGGATGAGATCTAATACACGAATTGATGATAAGCAGTAACTTGCACGACGTTAGTTTAGTATAACAAGGAGCGGGATCACGGCTTATAGGACACAGATAGCTAAGGCGACAATAATTGAGAGAAAATGGTTCTTGCCCAAGAATATTAGGAGCCGTAGCGTATTCAAGACCAGTTAGTAATTATTGCTATCAACAAATATGGTCGTATAGTGATTGTGGTGGTTTTAATCAACCTATAGTTCCAGTTGATTATCTGATTACCGTAGATCATGCAGTATGGTGTCTGGAAAGATATTGATATTGGCCTATAGATGGTAGGCATCATAGGAGGTGTAAACCTATGAAATATTCACCTTTGTATCATGCGCTATTGAGAGCAGTGCAGCACAGTCTCACCGTACAACTATACTAGAGAGCTTGCCTCTATTAGATGAAGCATAGACCTCGAGAGATCTGAAGGCACGTACAAGATAAGCAATTGACTGTCTGAGTTTATTATGCACAGAAGAGCTTAACAGTTTTTGTGATTCCAATGAAAGCGATATCTAGCTTCTTAAGCGGTGTATGGCGAGGATGACGATGCCCTCGAGCAGCAGAGTCAAGAAATCAATATGATCTATTTCTCCTAATATCGACCCGTATGCCTTGACGCTTGCATCAGTTTCATTTCATAGTAGTTATAATTCGCTGTAGGTCGCTGTGGTGTCAAGGGTGTTAGGTGGATGGCTTTCGTCCTCAAGGTGTGGACGAATAATTGAACCAAGATTTATCTCTTCGAGTTAAGCTTAGAGGATTATCACATGAAGCCAGTAGTGAGATTATCGACTACTTCAGGTTCTTCAAAATTCAAGATCCTTTCAGTTTAGTCATGACAAATATGTTCAGTACTTCCTCCATGCTAAGGAGTATGGAGGTGTTGGTGACGAATAGATCAACCACTGGACTAGATAGTGGTCATTCCGAGAAATTTGAGCATTCTGCATTCTGCATTCTGCATCCTTGTATTTTTGGTTTTTGCGTAGGTACTTTTGCGAGTTATTTTTCTTGGAGTATGAAAGTAGCATTTCTATAGGTGTATGCTGCCTTCTGCCTCGATATAGTTTAGTTCTGGGCCGAATCCTGGTATCGTGAAATCCACAGGTTCAACACCAGAACCACCAAACACTTGGCTGAAGATAAACCCATGCTCTAGAAACTCCGCCACATAATATAACACGCCTGCGATGAATGAAATCACAGCAGGGATACTACCCAACCCGAAGAAGAAGTTCAACCAAATAAAAGGTTCCCAAGCCGGGCTATCAATAAATGGGAAGCCAAGGGAGGTGAGGGTGACAAGTGCAAAAAAGGTATAAAATCGAGCCCGATGTAGTCTGCTCCAGCGCTGTGATATGTCGCGATTGATAAGAACGTCGGTGACATGAGTCGTTGAAAACCCGAAAGAGAATATGCTAACAACTACTTCTATGAAATGTTTGTACCCGAAACTAGCCCCCCGCGTTACTGCCGTTGTGATTAAATTGACTAATAGCACGATTGATAACCAACAATGATAAAACGTTGCGATCCAGGAGAATCGCATGTGAAGATGTGGAATCTCTAGGAAGCATGGACTCAAGGGGAGCACGCTGGAATGAATCGCGAAAGGTCAGTTTTACTCAATTTAGGAGTCAAGTTGTTCAAATTGACGAAATCAATTGTACTCACAGTCTGTTGATGGAACGAGTGGTGAGGGTAACTATGCTCAGCAGATTTCCGGGGGGTCCCCAGTATGTGGGATATCGCAGCAAGGCTACAAGAAAGCCGCAGATATACAGCAAGCCGAGTAAAATGCCTGCCAAAACGCCGGACCTATATTCATGTGAGTGAAGCGCTTTGACGCATCGCCGAGGTCTTGATCTAGATGCTCACCACTGTCCATAAATTGCTGAACGCTCAAGTTAGAGAGGCACGAAACGAGTATAGTGGTCAAGCGGTACTCACTGAGGTTTGTGAGACGGATATCTCTCCTAGCTGAGGCGATGAAGCCCATCCTAACTGGTACTTTGAGTCAATGGGTCAACTATGGGACAGTTGAGAAGTTACTCAGGCACTCGGTCAGGTTAGTGCGGATGTGCCTGGTTTATGATGAGATCTAGGCCCCTGTCTACCGTACATGGCGCGGTGCCCAAAATAGATCTGCGACAGCACGCCACATTCAACCTTGAGCCTTTGTACTCCGTAGTTAGCGTTTAAATACAACTCGCCCCTCTTTGAATGAGATTTCGTTGTGCCGCTATATTGGGATGCTGGATTTAACTGATAGAAGACTGCGTCTCTGTAACACACCCATAGGAGCAAAGATGAAAGCGAGTTGCGTCCTCTTTGGAAACGACAATACGATGGCTTCCAATTTCACTAACCTAATTACCTTAATTAGCTTTTACAGCTGAGTGCGTCGCCCCCACCCATGGCTAACATACCAAGGTAGGACTTGGAGTGTATATCTTCTCGCCAAGGCTAATGTTAGAGCATGTCCGTCATCACCAGCTTTCATCAGGTAACAGCATCAAAATGGCGGACGGCAATAAAATATATCACCCTTTAGGGAAGAAATCAATTCGTCTACTCGAGATCGTACCGGCGCTTCCGGATGAGCAAATAGAATGTGTACTCACCACAATTCACGATATTGAAGACGCCCCGGGTTTTGAAGCGCTCTCGTACGTCTGGGGCGATACCCTATCATCTCAGTCTATTCTATGTAACGGAATTCACATGACAGTCACCCAAAATCTTGAAGAAGCGCTGAGATACCTGCGTCCGCTACCTAGCTGGGAATCAGTGCAAACCTGGTCCACGAACCACTACCTTCACTCCAGCCGCCAGGTCTGGCGCTCTTTTGCCAGAAACAGGTACGAACAGCAGGAAAACACCATGCTATTACGATTGCCTGTTTGGGTTGACGCTATATGCATTAATCAGGACGATCTGGCTGAGAGAGCAAACCAGGTGAAACGTATGCTACCCTTAGAGTCATTTTCTTTCTAATCCAGTCATTCGCTCGTGGAACCCACGATTGCCAGTTAGAGCCACAAGCACCTCGGGAGTATACATATCTCTCGAAGACCGCTCTCGCACTACCCGAAAGAGTAACTACTGACTTTAGCGAGCTGTAGTAATGCGGAAAATCTATCAGGCAGCTTCTACAGTCAAAATTTGGCTGGGTAAAGAGCAAAAGCCTGTCGCTTCTACCTCCGCTGCATCGCGTGGGACACATGAATCGGTAACACTCACAACCAACCATCCGCTGATGGCACAGGCTGGGACGAACTCCAACTCACTGGCCGCAAGAGAACCCTTGATGTCACAAATGCGCCGGCTTGCGCCGCGGCATCACTTGGAAACATACGGCAGTATGCCCATTGTGCTTTCATTTCTGGCACAAGCTTTGAGGAATATGGAAGCCCGGCCTAACTCCTTAGTATCTCTTCGACCTTTGCAGGATTCGGAGCACAGAAACTTGGTATATGGACTCCCTCCGCCTTCGGCAAAGGAATGGAAGACTTTCAGGGAATTTCTGTCAAACCCCTGGTTTCAGCGGATATGGATAGTTCAGGAGGTCGTACTTGCACGTAAAGCTGCAGTCGTTGTCGGCAATTGGCACTGTAAGCACTTTTCAGTTTTCTTTTCTCCATGGCTTAGCGGTATTAGACGGCAGCCTCTCTGACCCCAAGACACCCCTATGGAATCCACCGACTACATTGCGCTTCTGTATTGCAATTAGCTTGAATCAAACTTACTCTTCGTATCGTAGTGAATTGGAATGCCGTGGGGAAAGCCACTACATGGTTCGAAGCGAAGGGCTATGCCATGCCTCGCACGATGAGATATAACCTCAATGACCCGAAGGACCTTCTACCAGTTATGGGCGCTTCGGCCCTCTGGCAGATGTCGGAGTTTCCAGATAAGCGGGTGCCGCTACTGACTCTATTGGAGAACTTCCGGTCTAGACACACAAGTCAAGATGTCGATAAACTATACGCGGCTCTTGGGCTTGCGCAGGAGACTGAGGGCTCAGATCTTGATGGCCTACATATGTTACTGGAGCCAGACTATAATAAACCTCTAGAAGATGTCTACCGTGATCTCGCCATATTCTTGATCGTCGACCACGGCTCTTTAATCGTTCTATCTCATGTAGACCGCCCTAAGACTAACTCACCAACTTGGCCGTCGTGGGTGCCCGACTGGCGCATGGCAAAAGCTTCATCCGAGATTTGGCCCTCAACAGACGCACTGCCATTCTGCGCAGATTTCCACCAGCCGTTATCCTTGAGTTTCGGGCGAGATCTCAACGTACTGTCTCTGGAAGGCCTTAAAGTTGACACGATTCGCTTTTACGGCGACAAACTCATAAGCTACGGATTCGGGTTCGAAACGTACGCACAGGAGCTAGAATTTGTGCAGGGCGCATGGAATTGAGCTAAAGGTACCTTTCAAAATTTGGAAACATGGATAGCCGAGTGACAGGGGATCACTTGCGCACTTTTATTACGACCCTCCTCGCACGCGACACTGGTTTTGATGAAGACGGATTCATGAATGACGCCGCTGGGTGGCTCTCTAAGCATCTTTCCAGCGAGTTTCCGGGAATTGGCTCGAAATGGTTCAGCACCAAAAGGGCAGACCCCGGGCGTTTTCACGACGCATTCGTCCGCACATGTACCGAGAAGAGATTTTTTATAACTCGAGACGGACGGGTCGGAATAGGGCCAGAATCAATGAAAGAGGGCGATGACGTTGTGATCCTCTTCGGTGCGAAGGTTCCTTTCATAATACGCCGGTCAGGACCTAGGTACAGTTTGGTGGGTGAATGTTTCATCAACGGAATGATGCACGGGGAGTCTGTTGAGCGATGGAAAAGCTCAGGTGGCGCTTGTGATAAATTCGAAATATACTAACTAGTGACGACTATTTGAAATCTCGTTACTTTCGTCGCAATTTTCCGTGAATCTCCGGAAGCTATGAAGGCTTTTGAAGTGAAGTTGAATATGCACTTAGTCGATCGTATTGACCCTCCTTACTTGCTACAATGAGCTGTAGAGAGTTCTTCTACTGTAAGAATGTCTACCTCACGTGAACCATGGGATTGGTACGCTGCTTGGGCGGATCCAGGGGCCACTTCGACTTCCTAGGAAGTCGGTCGTACTCCCTTACATGATGATGGCCTATAGTACTATTCACAGAGGCCAATCGACCCATAGGCACAGTCAAGTGATCAAGAAGCTGTTTTTATGTACCTGTTTTTTATTTTTTTCTTTTTTTTAACCAAAAAAAAAAAAAAAAAAAAAAAAAAAAAAAAAAAAAAAAAAAAACGCCTAGTGATTCAGGCTGGGTAAGCCCTTCTTACGTTCTCTATGTGGACAAAGGTCTACTTGTTTCCGTTAGCAAGCATTATTACATGCAATATGTTAGGGAAGCTAGGCCGAAGTTCCCGAAAATTATTGTGCATCAATATGAATAACTAATTCCAATTATATTTACTGATAATTCATCGCTACATGACAATTCAAAGCATACTCAGTTATAAACCTCCTTCATGGTTCTCAGGGACTCAACTCATGAAGAAGTAATTTGCACATGGTCAGGTAATCTTTTAGAGGGTAACAGCTCTTCTTCAGCTTAAGTGATTCAAATCACACTCATCTTACTACTAGTCAGCGGCTTATCTAGTATTATTCGCAACGGAACATAAGATGTGACCGGGAGGATTTCCTCGGCTAAGACGATTAGTCTCATAAATCAAGCATCCTGCTTAGCATGGACTGCCTGCATGTTGAATAGGTATTGTAATTCCTCTACATAAGTATACTCGCGCGTAGGTCATCGGCGTCCGTGACTGGCTTAGCGACTGCGCTATGCACAGACTTTGCCCAAGGAGGGCAGGTCCCATTAGGAATACTCGGTCCGTCATGACAGCTCATGGGAATAAGCAAGGGTCCAGCTTTATCGGAGATAGCGATCATGGTCCACCACACCAGCCGCCTTGTCCCGTTTCTTTCGTGCCGAGCATCTCAGCCAGAGCTTCCAACGGCGACAAGGAAGTCAGTGTATGATGGATGGCCTCACAGGAACGCAGCAGGCCAAATGGGCTGTAGCTGTGTTGTTTATTCTCGGCTTCGCCTATCTATGGCGGCTCAACAAAGTCATGAGCCAGACGCCTCCGGAGGCGGTCAAAGCGTCTCCATACCGCTGGGCCGATTCTGAGATCAAGGACACATATAAGCGCATTAAGGCGAATCCGATCGACTGGTCGAAACATCTACCACCAAAAGCCAATCGACGCTATGTCGTCACTGGCGGCTGTGGTGGCGTCGGCGGCCAGATTGTTTTGCACCTGCTCTTGCGCGGCGAGCCGCCCGAAAGCATCCGGATTGTCGACTTCAAGAAGGTAGAGAGAGCCGATATGATGACCGGCGCCGCAGCCAAGGTGGACTTTGCGCAGGCCGATATCACATCTCCGAGTGCAACGCAAGCCGCATTTAACAAGCCATGGCCCTCGAGCGTTGCCAAGTTGCCATTGACTGTGTTCCATACGGCCGCCCTCATTATACCAGGTCACGAAACCTCAATGTTTCCTATGACGACTCATAACTAATATCAGATATAGGTGAACGTACCTTGGGCACTTTCGAGCTCATCAGGCGGGTAAATGTTGATGGCACGAAGCACGTCATGGATGCGGCCAAGGCCGCAGGTGCCACCATCTTCATCGCGACGTCTTCTGCTTCGATTGCTCATCGGAATGCCGGTTATTGGGGCAACCCGTTCCGGCGCTGGCCTAGGAATTATTTCCAGGCCATTGACGAGTCAGATTTCGACAAGCCGCTACCTTCCCACTCAGAATTCTTTAGCAACTACGCGCACACTAAAGCTATTGCAGAGAGAATGGTCTGTCACGCGAATAGTCCGAACTTTCGGACTGGCACCATTCGCCCAGCCAATGCTATCTATGGAAGTAGCAATGGTGACCAGGTCGTTGGTGAGTCTTCCGCCTATCCTTACATTATCCCAGTCACCGCGCCACGGGTCTCGCCAGGGCTTTGTCTTAACCTCATCTTCCTTTTGCCAAACCCCAGTAAAAAGAGAAGTACGATACTCATATCAGTTAATAGGCGTGGTGTTGCGTACCCAGAGCGCTCAGAGCTGGATGAAAAACATAGTGCAGAACTTCGTCCATGGTGGCCACATCTCACTCGGCCACTTGCAATTTGAGGCCGCTCTACTTCGCAAGGAAATGCCCAAATGTGCCGGTCGGCCGTTCATCATCACCGACGATGGGCCCCCGCCCTCATATGGCGACATGTACTACCTGTGCTATGCAACTGCCGAGACGCCGGTCAAGCTCACGTTTCTGCCGCCGGCACCCTTTTTCATTCTCTCTCACATCGTCGAGCTGGTTGCTATCGCGAGCAGGACGCCCGTATTGAAGTGGATATTTCCCGCACCCAAAGGCACACTCGCAATTCTTCAGCCAGGCGTCTTTCACGCTAGCTTGAATTTTGTAGCGTCGGACAGAGCTGCGCAGAAGAGCGTTGAGCAAGGTGGTCTCGGCTTCAGACATGTCCACACTACCTTGGAGGGGATGTGTCAACAGGTTTTAGAGTGGAACAATGAGAACGCGTCGTCAAGCTCTTGAATGCGCGGAAGAAAAGGATATGGGGCTGCTCTATCTTAAAGACAATAATTGGTGAGCCCCACGACATTGTGATCCACGGTCCGGCAATTAGACGGCATAACGATAGCGACTCTTCAACTTTTATCGCCTCTTTAGCGCTGTAGATTAGTTTTGACGGAAGAGTGTATCTTAGAGCGCCGATAGATTACTGAGGCAAATGTTGTCTGATAATCTCTAGAGATCTAGCCCAAGGCTAGATCTGAGCCTTTGTAGCTGGAATTTTTGAGAACTAATGTATAGAGCCGTTTTCTTACGTTGGATATTGCGGAGAGAAGTCGGGGAAAAGGTTGCAAGGTAGCAAGCAGCTAGCTTGGTATAGACCGCAGAGAAAGTTCTCAAATCGAAACCTTCTGTATTCATGTTTGACCCATAACACATACTCTAGACTCCGGTGTCTGCTGGCCGGTGTCTGATAGGTACGACTCGGGCTTTGGCAAACTCATACTCGAACAGTATAACAAACACCGACCTTTTCAAAAGAAGTGAGAAGTTCGTTCGCGACTTATTACGATAGATGCTTATATCTTACACAGCAAGAGGTGCAACCAAACCCCATGATAAGATCTGCGAGCTGAAAAAGCAAATAAGCAGATCGACTCTCCCTGGATTGAGTTACCAATCGCGAATTGTGGCAGCAATGACGTGCTACAAGCTAAGACCGTGATCCCCAATGAGAGACCCCTCATCTTGCCATCCTCACCATTCCCCGGGGAGGTAGGGGGCCGTTCATCAATGATACGTCATGTGACTGCCCATCCATCTTCCGATGAAAGAAACCAGTATATAAAGTGAGGCGAGGTGTCATATCGTGATAATCATTAGTCACTGTTCTTCTTCACCTATGTAACCTATCGGAGTATACCCACCCTAGTCTCCTTTTGTCAAGTACCTATAGGATACAGGATATCAACATCCATCATGACTTCCGAAATCCAGAAGAACCTCGTCGAGAAGAACGCCGAGTACGCCCGCACCTTTGATCAGGGCGACCTGGCTCTCCCGCCAGCGAAACATTACCTAGTTGGTAAGAAAATATCATAATACTTTCCGGCAAGATGGCGTCGGCGCGCTAATAGTCTCCAGTCACATGTATGGATGCCCGTGTCGACCCTGCGGCAGCATTCGGTATCTCGCTGGGGGATGCCCACGTCATTCGCAACGCAGGTGCAAGCGCAAAGGACGCCCAGCGGTCCATCATAATCTCGCAGCAGCTCCTAGGCACGCGTGAGAGTAAGTTACTATCCACGATATTGTAATTACCAGGTCTTTGTCGATACCCTCGAAGGACAGACCGGGCTGTTTTCGAACTCGATGTCTATCTTAAGAAGCATGTGACTGACTCTGCTGTCCTCGAAGTCTTACTGGTAAAGCACACGGGGTGTGGCATGCTTACTTTTACGAATGACGATGCGCACGCACTTGTCAAGCAGAATCTCGGCCCAACGGCCGCGGCTGAGCTAGGGCCCCTTGACTTCTTGCCATTCGCTGAGGTTGAGGCTGCCGTAGAGGAGGACGTGGGGTTCTTGAAGAGGTCGGCTACAGTCCCGGAGGATGTGAAGATCAGTGGGTGGGTCTACGAGGTTGAGACGGGCAGGGTAAGACAAGTCGTTTGAGGTTTTGATTCAGCAATGTGATGCTCTATGAATGAGATTGTTGCGAGCGAGATGTTTTTACGAGATACTGTGGCATTCAAGGGAATATTATCGTTTAGTTATCTATGTCTATGAGCTGTAATCCGCAAAGTTCTTTCCTTCGGCCGTCAAATCAAACTTTTCGGATGAGGGGAATATCGCCATTGGTGATCTCCTCAATGAAGGCGGGATCAGGATCATATAACATAACATGAAAATGCTCAACCGCGTGGACTGACTTCAGAGAACGCCAGTTTTTGAACCAAATATACTATTTCAATTGTAGTAAGCATGAGTGCGAGCAGGTTGTCGGTGGATTGTCTTACCTGATCACTGGGTACCCTTGAACCAAAAGTCTTGAGAACGAACGCATTGATTTCGGCTCGAGCCTTGTCCGTCAGATCGCCAGTCGCGGGGTCTTCTTCGAGGTCGAACTTCGTCCAGACGACAATGTGGACTATCTTCTTGTCAAGGCCATAGGGCCAATCATTCAAGAGGATCTTGACGTCTTCGTCGTACTCGAACGGCCTGCCTTTGGGCGTTATAGGTGTATCCCAGTAAAGGCGCTTTGTGAGGATGAAATTCAGAACACTGCCATATTCCTGCTTTAGCTTCCAGGTGTATGCCAAATATTTCCGTAGCTCAGACGGTACGCGTTGAAACAAATCGATTCGGTTATCCAGAATCAACTTCTGCACTTCTGGCCACGTGCTGAGGCGATACTCTGTGTCGGGCGTGCTGATAATGCCCTTATCCTTGGCGGTTAATACACACAAGAAGTCGGGGCATTCGTCTGTCCTCTCATCTTCCGGGACGTTAACCTGCCAGTATGGCAGCTCGGCACTGAGACTTCCCATGACCAGTTTGTCGCTTGCTAGTGAGACCTCGGGTGTCTCCTTTTTCAAAGAGAATAGCGGTGTGCACAATACCTCGGGACGAATTTCAAATGGGTTCCTTTCCCCTTTTCTCTAACGTCGGAACGGGGCTTATGTGTTTATAGTATATAGCAGTCTCGATTCATGCAACACCGAGCATACCAAATACACTCGTGAATAGAGTCTCTTGGGTGGGTGTAAGAGGACAGTTTTGGTCTCCGGTCTACTGCTTACGGTAGGAGCGGGCCTAGTAGGTAATAGGCACCCAAGAAGCTGAGATGCTTTGACACGAGACACGAGATATGCGAAAACCGGCGTATATCGCAATTAGTCGATCGTTCACATTGAAGTCCAAATGCTAAGGATGAATGGGAGGGATACTGAATGGTTGAAAAGTGGTACCGGTCCGCCTGTCGGGGCGACGTGCACTCCGACAAAAAGTATTTTCAGGTCACTACTACGTACAGTGTATATCCAATTCAATCTCACACTACCTAGTACCGCTCAATTGTTGTGCAGGCCAAGGTAAGAAAGGGCCAAGTGATAGAATACGGTTTGGGAGAGAAAAAAAAAAAAAAAAAAAAAAAAAAAAAAAAAAAAAAAAAAGGCCAGAAAAACTAGTTAGAATAAAACTAGACAAAATAACAGTTTGCGGCGCTCCCCGCTACCGTGCTGCGAGCAAGCCGAGCACCGAGCTGGCATCGCTTCATCCCTATTTTGATAACATAAGACACGAGATTGCAAATTGGCTCCAACTCGTGTTTCTCCGTCTCCCACGTGGTCACTACCCCACTATCTATTTGCCAAATGCTGCTCACCTCAAATTTCCAGTATTGCACCAAACAGAAGACCTCAGAAAAGGAGGCCGCCAGGATGTACGACTCTTTCTTCATACAGTGTGTTGCCGTATTTGAGCAATTCCTAGGTAGTCGAGGGGATATCAAGTCTAGAGTGTGATATGCTTGTCAATGGTACACTACACTACCAGCAGATAGATATTCATGGTGTGCCCATAGTAGAAAGACGTACCGGACGTGGAAAACGTGGAAAAAGAACCTTCACGCGATTGGATCTCCCCGGGCGCTGAATCGCATGGAAGAAAAGGGTTGACGCGGGATGAGCGATGCGTAAACGAATCAATTATTGAAACGCGGCTGAACAGATTATTACTGTATGTATGTAGATGCAGGTCCAGACCCCCCTCCTCGTCATGGCTGTAGCAAAGATTACGCTGTGCGACCTCAAGTTAATATCTGGCATTCAAAGTTAAGCGGCAACAATCTGTCGTTAAAATCTTGGGTGGGGGTTTCTTGACTAGCGGCTGATAGCTAGAGATCTTTAATACGACAAAAGCAGATATGAATTTCCGCATGGGCTGAATAAGTAGGCATTGAGGTATTTATTTTAATCAGGATGGTCTGTTAGATACAACCCGAACAAGTAGTAAGCTCTCTTAGAAACAAAGCGCAGCGCTGATGATTGGCATTGCGCCGACTGCATACCGGTAGTATCGTTGCCTTACTCAGTCAGTAGCCATGGAAAAAAACTTCTGAGTGGCGACAGGTTGCAATAGGTCCATTGATAACGGCCTCCCTGCCAGGTGCCTGGCGAGATGTTGAGAAAACGGCGTGATCTAGAGCATTCAGCCTCCATGGTATGGGTGCCATCCAGAATGATACATACATTGTCAGCCACGGGAATACTATGTACCTATGTCAGTCTTCATTCGACCATCCAGAACGCAACGGGCAGGAACTAAAAGGGACGGCCAGAGGACGGCATCATAAGGCTGTACGTTAGACTTCGGTTGACACCTAGCGCGGATGTGTCCCTCAATATGAGGCTTTTCGGGTGCTAGACTAGTACCTAGTCTGGCCAATCTTTGACAGCTTTTGCTACGCCTCGAATCCCACCAACATGGTTGGGCTGGAACGCCACGGTTATAGTGGATGACAAGGGAATCGGAATTAATGATGACCATGGGGCCGGCCTAATACCAATTCGTTTTATTTTTGCCATAGCAACGGAGGTCTGGACCAAACCCATGAGAAGGACAGAAAGGGGTGATGCTCCTATTCTACTCTCATGGGCTACGAAGTACGGTACCTATATAACTATGTAGTGTAGAGACCAGTGCCATCCGACGACTGGCTGGTTATCTTCTCAGTGCTAATTGTTCACTTATTTCTCTTCTCTTGTTATCTTTGTCACCGTCGATAACATAGTCTGCAATTCTCAATTAATCAAGACGTTCTTGGCATGTGTCGTGCCCATCTGTTACAGGGTTTCTGAGGTATGTTGCTGATCTCTTGCTCCCCATGGCGAAGATGGTCTGTGTAAAGCAAGCTTTGCTACTACTTAGGCCCCTCCCCTCCTATCTTGCCCTCCAGCTGCCCCTCTATCCTTCAAAGCCCCTCCTTCTGTTTGTCTTGGTCTTGTCTGGTCTTGTCTCCCATCAATTGTCCTTTGTGATAGAGGCACATATTTCCAAAGAATGACACCTACAGTGTCATCTGAAGGGGAGACATGACGAAATGCACCATGTATGATGGGAACCGGCATGCTGCCAGAGCAAATAGGAGGACCGGTGCGGGTTGCGTCCCGTCTAAAAGAAGCAAGGATGCTACAGCCTACAGCCCCCACAACACTTTATTACGTCAACTGGACAAACACATGGCTGGTTTGCTGAGCAGTCACAGAGCACACAGGTTCTGCACAAGAAACAAAAACCACGGAAGCAAGAGTGAGAAGTGACAGACTCCTGGGCATAAGTACGGAGCAGATACGGAGCAACAAACAAACAAACAAACAAACAAACAGACAGTCGATAATAGCGGTTATACCTTGAAATAGGTACTTTTAGGTGCTGCTGCTGGATACATAGTAGAGCCACCGTATTTGTAAGTTGTATGCCTCCGTCTATCCTCCTAGCCCTCGTTACCAGAGCGGCATGCGATGCCTACCCACCTTGCAGGTGCATAGTTAGGTAGACAGTCTAGTACATATCGGGTATGAAGTTAGGAGCTTAATCCTTAAGCCTGCCGCTACCTCCAACCTTGGGTGGTGAGCTAGGGATAGGCTAGGGAGTACTTGAGTGAGTACGGTACCTGCCAGTGTGCGACCTGGAGCAGAAGCGAGAAGTACCCCCCACCTTTGGAGCATCCAGACTTCTTCACAGCAGCACCGCTATCTGCCCAGCTAGAGAGCTCGAGCTCAGTGCTATTCCCTCTCATCTGCTTTCACATGTACTTACCACACATGGCTCATGGATGTACATGGGGGGTACTGACCGTGTACTAGAGCTCTGGTGGTAATTACCACTCAAGAGCCTAGGAAAGATCACCAATAATTGCCCAGTATATTGCCCTGGTTTTTGGTTGCTGGTTGCTAGTTGCTGGCGAAATCCAGAGACCTCGCCCCCTGTTGCCCCTCACCTACCCGCCGTTTCTCAGCGTACATGTACCTACCTACCTCCCCAGGGGGAAGCCGTCAAAACCTTGGCTTTTCCTCACCTACTTTTCCCCTCTCTTGAGCTTCTCATATACAACCATCGCGGCACTCTGGCCCGACCCTTTTCTCTCCCTCTCCCTCGACTATTCAGCCATTGCATCACTCGTGCTCTAACCAAAATTTCTAGACACGCTTCTGTTTCTCTCCCTTGACAATGGCCCAGGCAATCAAGAGCGCATTGCCTTCTCACCTCAAGCCTCAGCTTGGAGGCAAAGACTCGGACACCGAGTTTGCGGGCAGGCATCATGGCAAGACTCGATCCCACATGGTGAGTGCGAACCGCCTCCTGCTCTTCCCACTTCATCCGGCTTCACTACTCTTTCACCGTCTCTGCAATGTCCCGCTCGCTATGTCTTCGTACCTCGACATGAAACCCGCACACGCAAAGAGCCCTTTGATTGCCGCGTGTTCAGTAACACGAACCTGCTACTGAATGGCGCAGATCATTGGGCCAATGACTCCCAAACAACACTCCCTTTTCTTTCGCGCGTTTCTAGAAGCATAGACGTCACCTTTGAGCCGGAGTCGAGGTCAGATGCTCTACAAGTTGTGGCATCCCACGCGTTCTTTCGTTATATCCGCTTCGGTGAAACGGGAGCAATATTTCTACCGCAATTCACCACCAGATTTCGAATTGCCGCCTCGGAAATACCCTTTTCTCTCCTTTGACGAAATCCCTCGGCTCCCTCGGCTCGGCCTGCAATTTACCTTTTCCCACATTTGTCTAGATTGTCACCAAGATTGCTAATGGGTTTGAGTAAGGCCTTCGAGAATGCCTCGACCAATGTCGCCGCTGCGCAGATGCGCAACGCTCTGACCGAGCTTGCTGAGACCGTCAATGACCCAGAACAGAAGAAGGTAAATCAAATTTGTCTTGCATCGCCAGCAAAACTGTCTCTAACTTCTCTTGGTAGCTATTTGAGACCGAAATGGACAACTTTTTCTCCCTTTTCCGACGATATCTCAACGACAAGGCCAAGGGGAATGTTGTGTACGTGACCAACTCTTGATACTCGGCTCGATGATCAACGCTGACAATACTCGACGTAGTGATTGGGATCGCATTGCCCCTCCAGCCCAGGGTCAGGTCGTTGATTATGAAGACCTCGCTAACTCCGAGTCCGTGGGCTTCCTCAATAAGTTGGCCGTTCTGAAATTGAATGGTGGTTTGGGTACTTCGATGGGTTGCGTCGGCCCCAAGTCTGTTATCGAGGTTCGTGATGGCATGTCTTTCTTGGATATGTCTGTTCGCCAGGTCGAATACTTGAACCGAACCTACAACACGAATGTCCCCTTCATCCTGATGAACTCGTTCAACACAAACGATGACACTGCTGCTATTATCAAGAAATACGAGGGCCACAATGTGGATATCCTGACATTCAACCAATCTCGATACCCTAGAATCTTGAAGGACTCGCTACTTCCCGTCCCTAAGAGCTTTGACTCTGCAATCTCTGAGTGGTACCCTCCGGGACACGGTGATGTGTTCGAGTCACTTTACAACTCTGGCGTTCTCGAGCAGCTCATCGAGCGTGGCATCGAGATTATTTTCTTGTCAAACGTTGACAACTTGGGCGCCGTGGTGGATCTGCGCGTCCTCCAACACATGGTTGAGACAGAGGCCGAGTACATCATGGAGCTGACCAACAAGACAAAGGCTGATGTTAAGGGTGGTACTATTATCGACTATGAGGGTTCCGTCCGGCTGCTTGAAATTGCCCAAGTCCCTAAGGAACACACCAACGAGTTTAAGTCAATCAAGAAGTTTAAGTACTTCAACACCAACAACATTTGGATGAACGTCAAAGCCATCAAGCGTGTCGTTGAAAACAACGAGTTAGAGATGGAAATCATCCCGAATGGCAAGACCATTCCAGGAGACAAGAAGGGCGAGTCAGATATCTCTATTCTTCAATTAGAGACTGCTGTTGGTGCGGCCATTCGCCACTTCAAGAACGCCCACGGTGTCAACGTACCCCGACGACGGTTCTTGCCCGTCAAGACCTGCTCAGATCTCATGCTTGTCAAGTCTGACCTGTACGCCGTCAAGCACGGTCAGCTTCAGATGAACCCCAGCCGCTTTGGCGGCGCCCCGCTTATTAAGCTGGGCAGCGACTTCAAGAAAGTTTCGGACTTCCAGAAGCGAATCCCTTCGATCCCCAAGATTATTGAGCTCGACCATTTGACCATTACCGGCAATGTGAATCTTCACCGCGGTGTCACCTTGAAAGGAACAGTTATCATCGTCGCCACGGAAGGTTCTACAATTGATATCCCCCCGGGATCTATCCTGGAGAATGTGGTTGTCCAAGGTAGCTTGCGTCTGTTGGAGCACTAGAGTCCTTTGTTTCTACGTGGCTTTCGAGAAAACATAGCATCTGTCGAGAGCAATGTACCATTCGAATCTTAACCCTCTCGTGTGCTCGTTAATGGTATAATCCCCTAATAGAGATGGTCATGTGTAATGAGAATAAATATAGGCGAATACGGTTGTTTGGAAGTTAATAAAAGAGAGAAAGACTCATCGACAATACAGAACCTAAACAGAAATTATGCCACCTTCATTTTTGAATAATCACTCGTTTCTAATGTTCATGAGGAGGGCGGATATGTCATCACATGTGTTGAAGGTAACGATATTGAGATGAAGCATTTGTTCCATGCTGTTTAAGTTACATAGGTACTCTCCAGTGTGCTCTGTTCGTTTCTTCGTCACCAGATGGCCCCCCACCAGATGGGGCATGCCTTTGTTAATTCTATGTCCTTTAGCTAGCTATTGCAGCATAGACATCTTACCATATAGAAATGGACGGTCTATGGAATAGAAAATCAAATCAAGGCCAGATGGAGCTGAATCTATCGATCCAGACAGTTTAGTAGTCCTCTCTCTGCCCACTAGCCTGGGTGCATTATTTATGCTTGAAGATTAGATCTTGTAAAGACTCGTTACTCGTAACTTTGAATTGTCCGTTGGTCCTGAATCCCGTGGTTTCGCTCCCGACGAACATCACTCTGGTAGCCTGTGGCTCTTCCAGATAGCTGGAGTTCAAGGGTAAGAGGCTCTTATTTTGTGGGCCTCATCCACGGGGATCTGTGCCATTTCTGGATCGGGTACCTATCTTCTAACCATTTGGTCGGAAGACTGGCATGCAGTGGTGATAATATAGATGTGCTCGAATGCTTTCATCAACATCTTTACTTGCCCTTCTTCTTCAGACTTTCAGCGCGCTCCGCACTGCAGGTGGGACAGTACCAGCGACCCTCGGGCTCTGATTTCAGTCCAACACAGCTCCAGTGGAACCACTCGAAGGGACAGGAAGGATTATCACACGCCACCATATCGCCATACGATACCGCCTGACACAGACAATACCTCTTCCCCTCCTCGTCCTCGTCATCATCAATGCCTGAAACGCCATCGGAGCCCGAGACTTCTTCGTCGTCATCCCTATCTATCATCTCCTCGTCCTTATCAACCTCTACACTCCCCTTATTCTTACTAGCGCCATTGGTGTTGGGACCGGGGGTACCGCTTCCCGCCCGGGAGCCACGGTGTGACGAAGGCGCCGAATCCGCGTCTGAGAGCTCGCTATCGGCTGTCGAGGCTGGAGACCCTTTCGACTGCCCTGCCCGCTTCACACGAGATAGCGTTGATTTCGAGGTGGGCGGCTTCCTGCGTGCGACCGCTCCTGGTGTACTCTTTCGACCAGTACCGTTACTCGATGCCTTTGTCACTCCTTTAGGTCCCGCGCTCCCTGCCCGACTCGAAGCGCCGGGCGTACCGGGTTTGGGCGTGCCCGGTCCAAGCGACGAATGCCGCGCCAGTCCACTTGAATTAGCTGGGAGGTTGCCCACGCCAGAAGATGTCCGTGGTCCCCTCTTAGGAACGCCACTCCCAGGTCCGGCAGACGATTCACGGTGGTTTCGGTTGAGGATCATGCTCGCAGCGGGAGAAGCTGGCGCTGAAGATGAGATATGGGCCTGCGATTGTGCGGCACGCGCCTGGGGGTTAGATAATCTGACGGTGGTAGGGCTGGCATTATTTAGGATAGGGTTAAGCGGCGTCGAATTAGTAGTAACAGACAAGACCCTGACAGATGTGTTGCTATTGTTGGCGGCGCTCGGTCGTATCAGAGAGGGTATCTCGTCGGGATCGGTAAAACCAGGCTCGCCCCTATCGCTCAACTGCTTGATCTGGAGGTCGAGGTGTCGCAGGTGCTTGTCGTACAAGGTCTGGGCTCTTTGCGATAAGGCAACCTTTTCGTCGGCAAGCTTCTCAGCGCGCGTGTAGTTATCCCTAATAGTCTCACGCAGCTGGGCCTCCCGCGGGTTGTGTTGATGGCTACCATTCGATCGTATCCAGCGCTGGATCTTATTGTCGCATTCTTCGACCGTCTTGATGCAATCGTGATAGGAGCGATCTTTGTCGGCAATCTCGTCTTGAATGAATCGAACCTCTTCGGGGAGGTTAGCCATGCGGTGGATAAACTCCTCGAGGATGACGGCCGGGTCTTGAGCCTCGACGGACGGCGCCATCTTCTTCACGAAGTCTATTGAGAGATCGTCTCTGGGCATCGGTGTTAACCTGGCCTCCTACGCGAGGCCTGCGCTTTACTGAAGGTGTGGTAAGGGAAGGAAGAGGAGTGAAAAAATCAGGTCCAGCTAGGAGATGACCATGCATGCAAGTGCGATAATTGTTTGCTTCTCTTATTTTCTCGTAGTCCACTTTCTCCTTTTGTTTGTCATTCCTCTTCATATATATACTTTCCGCCTTTTCTTTTGTTCTGCTCGTCTTGCCTCTTTTTCTTGTTTTTTTTTCTTCGATTTCTTCGTACTATGTTTCTTTCCTTTCCTAATTTGCCCCGACCTGTTTATTTACGCATGTGGAAGGAAACGTAGTATCAAGCAAGCAGTGAGGAGTTTGAAAGAGCGAATGGCCATCGAGAGGCAGCTGGACAGCGGGTACGGTACGTGTGGACAGACGTATGGGCAGACAGGTGATGGTACAGGTGATGGTACGCAGAGCAGCGGAAGGGTCAAATCATGCAGCGGTGCTGGCTCACCTTCCTAGCTCAATGACACGGAACTGTAGCCCCGACGAAAGGCGCAATCCAGCGTCTTGGGACATGAGGCAATGCGATGTGCCAGAAATGTGTCCCGACGTGGTACCGAAGTGTGAGTCGAAAGCGGTCGCTGCCCAGAGCAGGGGGAAAAGAGCGGCGTCGGTAGGTGGTCGGCGAGATTGCTCTGATTGGTATAGAACTGTAAGGAAAGAAGACGACGCTACCTAGCTGAATTGCAGGATGATGTTCGCGGGTGGAGAAGCGTGCTTTGACGAAGTGGGACTTTTTGCTGGTGGAGGCGTACTTAGAGCGAACGAGCGCGTGCGCAAGGTGCCAATAGACAAATACCTAGACAGGCGAGACAGGCGAGACAGAGGGTGGGAGAGGGAGGGAGAAAGAGGCGACGGCTTCTTGCACTGCTTTGGACGGGAGAGAAGAGCACAGAAGGGAAGGACAGAACCAGAACATGCCACCAAGATGAGTCAGCAGAGGGCACGTATGTACTAATTCATTGGTATCTTACTTCAGTAAAAGTAGGTAGATCAGTTATACATAAGTAGAAACATATGTACCTAGGTATTTCCCCCAAAAGCTTTTACAGATGGTTTTAAGCCAAATTGGAATTAGCGTTGTAGCTGGGTGCTTGGCAGTCTGAATACTATGTACTAGTACGTAGGTTGTGGTCGCAGATTTCCATCAGGCTTGGCACTATAAGCCAATACTAACGGTGATGGATATTTTGGACCCCAACCTCCGTACTTGCCTATTGTTTTGCGATAGATACTTGCTTACTTCACTGTACACTACTTGCTCCAGATCAAACCTCAGCCTTGATTCTACCTAGGTACCTGCTCAGTATAGATAGGTTGTGGTGCTATTAAAGATAACTCAGTTGTTCATTTCTCCTTCTCGCTATAATCTTGCCATCAGTTCCTCATAAACAACGTACCAGATTTTTGGGGGGGCTACGCTGTCATCGAACCTAGGTAAATCCAACCAAGTTCACGTTTGTGACTATCACTTGCCCTCACCTCTGTGGTAACGGCTCACCAGGGAGAGGTATTCACTATTCATCAAGTCAAACGTACATCGAACAGCTATTCAAAGGATTCTCAATTTTGGGACTCTTCTTATGTAACCCCATTCTCATTACTGCTTCTTCTCGGTCAAAGCCACTGTCTCCGACCGTACTACAAACCAAAAGAATTCTTCCCGTGAAGCATTGGCAACCAACGCCTAAAGCCCACTCAAGGCAGGCCGCCATTGTCTTCGAGCAGCTCACAGGAAACGGGCCCAGGTCCCGGTGTCCAGCAATGGAAGCAGACCCGGGGAATCCCTACTCGTTGCGGCTTCCAAAGCCCAACTACCTTCCTCATAATGTAGACTATGACTTGCCCGTCGTGGAGAAGTTCCTGAAGCCGCTGGATCGGCCGAGTGATATGGAAAATGCCGCTTATCTCAACAAGATCAAACGCTTTGCCCATGAACATGGCATCACCAGACCGAAGGGCTATAATGTATCGTTTCACTACAATCCAGATATGGAGAAGCATCACTTCGGCATGACACACCCCATGAAGCCCTGGCGCTTGACCCTCACCAAGAGCTTAGTATCCGCCTATGGTATGAATTTTGCCATGGACAACTACACGGCACGCGCCGCCACATATGAGGAGTTGACCTCTTACCACGCCAGCGATTACGTTGATCATCTCGCCACAGTCGCCCCTCAACCCCAGCCCCTCGACGTGGACAATGCGAATCCCGACCTCAAATTTAACTTGGGTGGTAGTGACTGCCCCTTGTTTGAGGGGCTCTACAACTACTGTTCGCTCTCCGGCGGCGCTTCTCTCGATGCGGCAAGGAAACTGTGTTCAAACCAATCCGATATTGCTATTGCCTGGGGCGGTGGGCTGCATCACGCAAAGAGAGCCGAAGCATCCGGATTCTGCTACATCAACGACATTGTTCTTGGTATATTACAGCTACTGCGTGTTCATGCTCGAGTCCTATATATCGATATCGATGTACACCATGGTGATGGTGTCGAGGAGGCGTTCTTTTCCACCGACCGAGTAATGACCGTCTCATTCCACAAGTATGACCCTTTAAGTTTCTTTCCTGGCACCGGCGCTCTTGAGGACAATGGTCCCAAAAGTGAACACAACCCCGGAGCGCACCATGCCATCAACGTCCCTCTCAACGACGGCATCACTGACGAACAATACAAATGGTTATTTGAATCCATCATTCAACGGGTCGTTGACAAGTTCAGACCGAGTGCCATAGCCCTACAATGTGGCGCAGATTCCTTGGCTGGAGACAGATTAGGCAAATTCAATCTGCTCGTACAAGGGCACTCTTCGTGCGTTGAGTTCTGCAAAAAGCTGGGTGTCCCCCTGATCCTTTTCGGTGGTGGAGGATATACGCCGAAAAATGTTGCCCGTGCCTGGGCTTACGAGACAGCAATCGCCATTGGCCATCAACACCATATACCAAGTCAAATCCCGATCCATACACCGTGGAGGGATCGCTTCAAGATTGATTCTCTCTTGCCCACGATTCAACAAATCCTAGGTGAACCTCGCCAGAATCGAAACACCCATAAGAAGTTGACAGAGATTGTGCAGCATGTTACAGAGCAGCTGCGATTCGTCGGCGCTGCGCCGAGCGTCCAGATGTCCGTCATCCCACCTGACCTAGGCCCAATCAGGGATGAGGTGGAGGAGCGGATTAAAGAAGAATATGAAGAGAAGGACGAACAGGGACGCAAACTACGGGAACAAGGCGTTGGCGATCGCATGGAGTTATGCTAAGTAGCTTTGACTGACTAGAATGCTGCTTGCTATGAAAACATCTCATGACATAGAAGCCCGAACCATGGATGACTCGGCCGGGAAAATCCCTAGCCTTGGATATTGTATCATTCCAATAATCTCTATCAAAGCAACCGGATCGCGATAGTGTCAACTCAATCGGAGTAGAACTACTCTGTAGAAACAGTGTCTGATTATATGATCAGGTTAAGATTTATCAGCTAAGGAATCAATAGGAGAATAGCTCCGATCAGCTAGATCAAGATTATTACAAAGGACAGCAATTATAATTCAAACAAGCTGCCAGCACTTGACCACTTGACACCACACATATCTACAACAGCAGAATTCAGATACTCTTTGAGAAATAGACAGTCCAGCTTGTGCTCTATACAATCCTAGACCCATTTCAAACAACCTCTATGATCAGTCGTCTATGTCACCACAGACAACCTTATCAGAGAACGGAATGCTGCGGACAGGAAAAACTTGCTCTACAAGAATTGGTATAGATTTGACGTTTGTGTAGTTTATCTAGCATACGCAATCCCCGTTGTAATCTTAAACTTTACTGTCATTTTAGTGCTCAAGGCTATATATGTATATATACATCACGATAAGACCCCTTAGATGGTGTTATCAACCCTGTGGGAGCACGACTTCTGAGTAGCTGCAGTTGCGGCAGCCCTCTTCCACTTGAGGAACTGAGCCCGAGCCCCGTCTTTGCTACGAGGGTTGAGAGAGACGTTGCGTCGCACGGGCACGCCATCGAGCGAGAGGGCGAGCTTGGCGGCCGCGTTGGCAGCGGCCTTGGCATTGACGGTGAGAGCGTCAAGGTTGACATTGGAAAGAGTGTCGCATGCGAGATGGTAGCAGGGATCGGTAGCGGCGCTGGCGCCCGTGAAGATGCCGGAGGAGGGGATGCCCAGCTCGACAAAGCCGACGTAGTCGGAGCTCGTCCCGAAATTGACGTAGTACGGCTCCTTGCCCGCATCCGTCAAGTACTGCATGAGCAGAGAAGCGCCGGCCTCGTCACCCTCGTTGTCGCCGATGTAGATCTCGTAGTTCGGGTAGGGCGACCCCACCATGTCGTAGTTGAAGTAGAATTTGATCTGGTCAGCTTCCTCGGGTGTCAGGCTCTCCGTGTAGTGCAGCGAGCCTATGAGTCCGCTTTCCTCTGCACCCCACCAGGCGAAACGGACCTTGTTCGGGTACCCTTCGTAGTAGCGGAGCTCGGTCATGATCTCAAGCAACGCGCTGGTTCCCGAGCCATCATCGTTCACACCTGGGCCGGTTTGCACGCTGTCGAGGTGTGCGCCGAGCATAATAACACTGTTCGGATCACCTTGCTTGGTCTCGGCGATGATGTTCCATGACGTGCGCTCCTCGAATATGGCGTCGATGTACAACTCTACAATCACCTCCTCATTGGCGGCCAGCTTCTCTTTCCAGGCCGAGCCTACAGAAAGCGGGATAACTGCCACGGGGACCAGCAACCCGTAGTTCTCAGCTCCGAGGGTTGCCGAGCTAGGCGTCCCCGCGAGGTTGTGGTAGATTAGAGCACCAGACGCGCCGTGGGCTCTGGCGAGCTTGAGCTTATCCGAGAGCGCACAGCTGCCGCGCTTTATCAGTGCGATCTTGCCAGTAGCGTCGATACCCTCCCATTGATCTTCGAAGCAGGCCGATCCTATATAGCCAAACTCATTAGATACCAGACACTCACTTCCGGCCGTCGAACATGCAGCGCGGACCTACCTCTTTCATCGTCCACGGGGGTATCAATCAGTGGAGCCTTAATCGGGCCATCGTCTGTCCCCGGGTTATAGATGAGGGTGACAGTAGCGACCGATTCGCCATTGGGCCCGGTAACGGAGATCTCGCGAACCTCGTTGTACAAGTGGTCGAACTCTTGTACGGTGGTGTCGTACTCGGGCCCGAAGCGTGTCTTCGCGCGTTCGAGGATGTAATCAGAGGATGCCTTGTACCCAGGAGATCCGAAGGCGCGGTGGCCACCGTTCTCCTTACCAATGCGGTCAAGGTTCCAGAGATTACGTTCTAACCTAATCGTGGAAGTCAGCTTCATGCATTATGTATAACAATATCTTTATTTCTAGGGATTGAGGAGCTATTGGAGTGAATGGAGCGTGGCAACTTACTCTGCCGTCTTGATCTTTTCTACAAGACCTTCTGGCGTCAGGACATTATCCGTCGCTAGGCCTGGAGCTGCGAACAGCGCGGCGAAAGCGAGGACTTCGAAGCTCTTCATCTTGATTGAGAGTGACTGACCGGCCCCGTGTCGATGAGGGAGAAGCGAGAGAACTAGGTGCAGAGACGGCCGCAAGTTCACCGCTTTATATACAGCTCCCTCACCTGCAAGCCGATAACCTAGCTCGACCCCAACACCATGGGAACAGTATTACTTCGAGGGGTCTTGAGGCAACTTGGCATGCGACTTGGCTGGCCGGGGAACAGTCGGCGAGAGATAATTGGATCGAAACAGTTTTTCGGTTTCCTTACAGCCACCTAGATGACTGGCGTTCCTGGGAACAATTGCTCCCCTGCCTGCTCACGGGCCCCCGCAGTTCATCGTGATAATGGAAAATCTTCCCATTGGCAGACTCAAGTACAAAGAACGAAAGTTGTCAGCAAAATGCTCCATACAGAGATCCGCCAAGGGATAGCTCTGTCAGGCGCCTTGGCGCCTTGCTACTTATGAAGGAGGCAACACCATGGACTGCGAACAACAGCTATGCTGGAACCAAATTTCAAGGATATCACGACATCAGAGCTGGACGCCCCAATGCGCAAGCCCAGCCGTTAGAAAGCGGTGATCGAGCCAGAACAGCCCAGGGCGGGTATTGGCTTCTTAGCACTCTCGCCAAGCCGGCTTTGTTAGGCAGGTGCCAAGAGGTGAGAAGCTGACCAGCGTACTTGGCAACCGAGACATCACGAGAAAGTTCATTGTTGCTCAGCTCTTCTCGCGTGTATCTCCTGTCGAGCACATACGAGAAGGCCCATCCACGCTTTCTACTTACTAACAGAGATCTAAGTAGCCTAGCAGAATGACGTTACCGTAATTAGCCGACGATATTAAATCGCCTTGCTACTTGGACGTTGGGGTTAAGACATATCGGGGAGGTGTTGACCAACCTACAAGATATGACTAAGAGGTAGAAAGACGATGTCCGTGATAGCCTATCCATGTATACGATGGAACTAAGAGATCATGTCTCCCCAGGTGTTGAGGGGACATAGATATTAGTACAAGTCTCGCTACTACGCCATACTATTCATTACGTCCATTATCGAGATATATTCAGAGATGTAATATAATGAGACTGTCAAACACGTCGCCTATCACGGGCAAACTCCCAAAACAGGCATAATTGACAATATGAACATCTAACATAGTAGCTCGAAATTTCAATATCCTTTGAGACCATGAATCAATATTGTAAGCATGTTAAATCTCCAAATAGTTTTTTCTGTAATTTCTATTCTACAAGGTCCTAACATGAAACCAGTCCGACATCCCAGTTCCAGAACATATGTGAACATAGCTCGACGATGAAGAAGAAGAAGAAGAAGAAGAAGAAAAAACCTTACAGATGAGCCTTCTGATGCACTCTCTGGGCCACTTGATCCAAGACTCGCTGCTGTCCTTCTACCTGCCGTAGCCTGTAAGGCGACTAGAAGAGATTCTCGGTCGCCGAGAATAAGATCATACTATACCATTTAGCTTCTTTCCCTTCTCAAGCCCGAAGTTGAGTCCTTTGATCACCAAGGTGTTGTATTCTCATCTCCAATGAAAATCTTATGTGAAGTAATATCCGACGAATGTCTTGATACATGTACTGATGTGAGCTATTGAGTTAAGACAGATGAAAACAATACAGTATCCATTCTTCCAGACTGTACGACGTCGATTAATATTTATTTCAGGCCTACATAACCTAGAAGACTCCTGGGAGTTTCATATGCACTGAACAAAATTTATCGTATATAAGCAAGACTAGATCTTGGAGTCCTTCGCCTCTCCTGCCTAAGACACGAAAGCAGTCGAATATGGTTTTATGTGCAAGGAGAGGCAGAACCCTCCTGTCTTTGAAAGGGCTCAGTATAATCATCTAAATGGGCATCAATCACCATGTGAAGATTGTTCTAATCTAGGAGCAAACCACGACATCTACTTAATCATTATAATATTTCTACGGATATAGCTATGGTAATACATGCTGTAAGGATTCTCATAGCAGTCCGTAACAGTACTCCATGTAGGAATCTCAAAACACTAATAACTGTAACGGTATCCAACGAATGGCTGTAGATATAAGGGTATTCGTATCACACATAATATAGACGGTAGATGACGACAATTGTTACAAGACACAAGTGACTCGATCATGTGATACAAACTTGAAAACATGCCGTAACCACTCACGTGAACCTTTCCCAATCACCATTACATATCAAGAGAAAGCCAACGAATGCCAGCAAATTCATATCCAGGGTTAAAACGAATATATATGTGACACGTATTCCGCGCCGTTGACCAGCAGCCAGGTGAGCCCAAAAGGGAGGCGAGTGGGGCACCTTCACGATACAAAAGCCTCCCCGCTCGAAGAACGAATGTGCGAGATCAATCTTCCGTTCAGTTACTACCATCATCAAAACGACAAATAAAATAAATACCACTTAGCCATGGCAGCCCCAGAAGTCCCAAGAGAAGAAACCCCGCTCGTCGAGGTGATCAACGACGAAGAATCCTTCACAGACGCTTTCGAAAGCGTGAGCGAGGCCTTCGGCACGCAGGCCCACGACGCCATATGGGAGGCCTTCAACCCGGGCTGGCAGACCCCGGAGGGCCGGGCGTCGTGGGTGACGCGGATGGTCAGCAGATGGAAATCCACGAAGACGGACAACAAGGGGAACCCGAACGCCGTGTTCCTGAAAGCCACGCTTCCCGACCCGAGTCATGAGAACCCCGGGCCACACCGCCGCCGCAAGACCGTGGGCTTCGCCATCTGGGTCCAGATCTCCGCCGTGGAAGGACACGGCGACACCGACCTCGGCGCGCTGGGGGACGATGTCCTGGAGGCCCTGCACCCGGGCGACGACCGGGAGCAGCGGTTTCTCAAGCAGATGCTTCAGTCGCTGTTCAAGTCGCGCGTGGAGTTCGCCAGGGCCAAGGCATCGGCCGATCCGCCGGCCGTCATGGCGCTCGACCTGTGCGCCACGCACCCGGCGTTCCAGCGGCGAGGGGTGGCGTCGAGGTTGGTCCGGTGGGGTCTGGAGGAGACGCGGCGGCGGGGCCTTCGGTACGCCGTGACCGAGGCTTCCAGCATGGGACGGTTCGCGTATGCGTCGCTTGGCTTCCGGCCGCAGGGGGAGGATGTCGGGTATGAGGTCGACGAGGAGTTCTCGGACCGCGAGAAACCACCCAATCTCTTCATGGTTTATACCCGCGAGGGTGAACGACAAGATTAGATAGCTTTTACAGAAAGATGGCATAGTATATATATAATAAGATTCGATATCAGCCGTTAGACTTGCGTGAGTACTGAGCTATCATGGTTGCCGTCAGTGAAGCTCAGCTGACTATCGTCGAGTAGAAATAGGTGAAAAGGTTGAAAAGTATATCATTTATATATAAAGGCATGATTACTTCTAACTAAGATTCAAGTTCCTCCTATACCAGGTGGGCCCCATACCCGTTGATTCGCGGTAAACTCAAACCTCTCTCACAGCAGAAATTGATAATGATACTAGATTCCTTCATTTATGCTAGATGAGTTGAATGGCATTGTTCTGTTACTGTTACTTCATTCCTTTATGGAACGGAGGGGGGAGAAAGAGAACGCGAATGAAAAGGGAAGAAAATAATGAAGAAGTGTTAACGTTATATAGTATATTACCAAAGGTGGTCATATATATACATTGAAGTGACGGTTATGCTTATGTATATAATGTTGCATATGCGACCGTTATTGTGACCGGCCGTTTCTCAGCTTTCGAGTAAGCACCTTAGTAACTCTAGACTGAGTAATCCGGAGTAGGATGAGGCGACGACTTACATGCCATAAGCACATACTACCCACAGTATCCTAATGCAAACACTGCGCAAGTGTAATATGCTGTTCAATATTCGTGACTACACAGCTACTAAACTTGGTACATAGATGCAAGTCATTTGAAAATGTACGTCCTTGCCTCGGAGAACGCGCCACTTCTCTGATAGCCGGTGAAACCTCGCTACTGCAATGCTATGCAAGCCAGCGCGTCGAACTACTGAGTATGTTCGGTCGTACAAGTATCAATATATTTTCCAACATGGTGGAAGGCACAGCCTGAAAATTGCACAAGAGTTCATATCGTGTTGGTCACATGTCTCCGGCAAGTAACTTGACAAGTGGAATTCGCGTCGCGAACGATGAGCTGCTATCGACAATATTCGTCGATGCAAAGCCAGCAGTCCTTCGTCTATATACACTGATACTCATTTCTATCAGGTTTTGTGCAATTCCCACAACGCAGCACCAGTCCTCTCGCCTGTTCTAAGCTATACTAGTCCACACATGTCTGAAAAGCCGTGTTCCACCTATCAGTTGTTTCGCGTGACGCCAACAAAAAACATGCTTCGCTTGGAGGCGGGTCGATGGTAAGGAGTTGTAAACGATGAGAGACAAGCAAATTATTCTTGGAGGTCGACAACCAGCTTCTCGATAGCCGGGGGGTTGGCACCCATAACCTTGCCGGCGGGCTCGCCGTTTTTGAAGCCCATGAAAGTAGGCATGGCCGTGATGCCGAGCTCCTGGCTGAGTTCGGGCAGCTCATCGACGTCGATCTTGGCAAAGTAGACGTCCTGGAACCGCTCCTCATTGGACAACCTGCCAATCGAAGTCAGCATGTGTTTTGTCCCGGGCATATCTTGTGCTTGAAACAATTGCACACGCAAATTATGGAGGGCATCTCGATAGGTATACTACCACCGTCGAAAAACTACTTACTTGGCGACTAGAGGGGCAATAGCTTTGCAAGGACCGCACCACGTAGCGAAAGCATCGAGGATGACGATTTTGTTGGCCTTGATGGCCTCGTCAAAGTCGGCCTTACTAATAGCCGGTTAGCATTGGTGTGGAAGCATGGAAATAAGAACACAGAGAGGTGAGTGAGAGTTGGACCGCGGAAGAGCGGTTATACGATGCGAAGCCCTCGGGGAGATGCGGCATGGCGGGGCGGCCGCGGGGGAGGGCACAAGCAAGCGGACAGACAGACAGACTTACGTCGCGATGTTGTGGACAGTCATGTTGGGAGGAGTGGAATGGAACTGGCGCAAAGGGAGCAGACGGGGGCTGGCGAAGGCTGCAAAAGCTGATCGTCTCAAGGGGAGAGTTGAAAGAGTTGACAGAGTTGACAGATGGCAAAGATGGGTTGCTGCGCGGAAAGACATGGGAAAGAAAGGATGCGGGAGGGAGGAGGGGCAGCGAGAGTGGGTTTTATGCTTCTGTATTTGCACACCAAGAATCGAGCATGTGGACAGACGGACGACAGGTGACGGTGACGGTGACAGTACCTACATAGGTGACAACAGTAGTAAATATAGGTCAGTTAGGCCAGTAGGTAGGTTAGTTAGGTAAGTAGATACTTAGATAAGTAGAAAATGTAGTTACTTACCTACCTATAATACATACTTACAGTGAATTAGTCCACAACAGCGACAGCGGCAGAGGGAGAGAGAGGCTTAGGTAAGTTCAAATCAAATAAATGTAGGTACACGAGTACCTACGTTTACTGTATAGTAGGTAGATTAGTGGTCACTGGGCAGGCAGTGCAAGCTTCTGGAATTGCCTCAGACTGTGATGTCAGCGGTTGCTCCGATTTGTCAGGCCGCCCTGCCTTTTGCAATTGACATGTGCGTGCGGTGTGGACAAGCCGCCTCGACCTACATAATACATACGTACGTAGTAGTAGTGGTAGAGGTAGATACGTAGGCGGGACAAGGTAGATGACGCGATTCTTTTGCATCATGCATCAACCCTCGGCCTGGATGAGTTGGCTGTGGCTTGCCGCCGACAACCGCCCCGACTACCTACCTACTGGAACTACAGGTAACCTCCAAGGTCCTTACTACATACATATAAAGTGTGGCGCAATTGTGATTACACATCTACAAATACCGTACCTAACCTAGCCACGATGAAGATTCGTAATCTATCTTATAGGTACCTAGTATGCTAGACAATTCCATACATACAGACAACAGACAACAGACGTCCTTGTAAATGTAAATGGCTCGTATAATATTAGGAATCTAGTAATACTCAATTGGAATTGAAGTGGTTTGGATACTCGACCTACCTCGGTAACATGCCTCGGAAGCTTGACCACGCATATTACCAACCATCGCATATGCACGGGTTAATGTTCCACCTGTTCCTGACCTTTCGAGACAATAGGTATGCTGCAAGTTTAAATCCCGAAGCAAGAGATCTGCTGTCGTGGAACTTGAAACCTTAGTAATAATGCGATGTAATGTACAACTGTAGCATTCACCTGGCGGAGATTAGTTGCGCGTCGCTGCGTTGTCAGTAGACAGTCACTCTTGGGACAAAGCATCGCCCAAGGCATCAGTCAGGTGAGCAAACATATACAGAACGTTTTATTCCGAGGAGACAGGGGACAGTTGGCTACTGTCTATCTACATAAAACGCGTCTTTGGGTAGTGGTGGTCATCATACAGTGGAATGGCGGCAGGCCCCTAAAAAGCATATCGGAGAATTCGAGAGGACTATGAATTCCAATCACTGCTATCCAGCAAAGTATATTTCTTTTCCGAAATCTTTCCCTCCTAAATACCCTTCTATTCGATTCTGATAAAACACACGACCTCCCCGGAAACCCGGAAGGTAGAGAGAACTGCAAATTCAAGAGAAGAGAAAAACGAAGATGGGTATTGATTCAGCCAGACATCAGCTCCTACAACCCATCCATAAGACGCCCCTAACAACATTCAAATGATAGCCCAATCATAGGTCGGCTAACATGCCGTGTATGAGCCGCTTTTCCAGGTATAACCAGAACCTGAACTCCAAGCCGCGGCTACAGAAGCGATTGATATCAAATGGTCCGCCGCGCGATAATTCACAGTATATCAGATGTGAAAAGAAAAAGCCGCCCGCGCCTGCAATGTGCGGCGAGGATGGCGTTTGTGGAAGATGTATCTCATCGTATCGTACATGCGCAATTAGTGTCAAAGTCTTCGTAGGATGACTCAACCTAACAACTCTTATACCACTGTTGATATAAGGCCGTCTAGGTTAAGAGCAAAGTGGGAGTTGCATCTAGATGCTTTGAGTGTTGGGTGATGATCAAGTCTAGAGATGGCCAAGCTTTCTTTTTTTTTTTTTCATCTTTTTTTGTTGTCTTTTCTTTTTCTTTTCTGTTTTTGGTGTTGTTTGAATTGTTATATGACGCGATATTTAGGAAATGCGAGAATGAGCGAATTTGGTCGGTGTTAAGACAGAAGGAAAAGTCGACGGACTAGGCTGAGGTTCACACCCAAAGTGAGCCTCCAGTGATTCATATATGATGCTTGGTCATCTCCATTCTCGATCATGCACCTCCAACTATCTCAACTATCGAGCACTCTCAACATGAGCCACCACAAAATGACTATGTGCTCATCCTATGATCGCCAGACTGTCGAGGGGAGATTTCCAAGAGCTTCGCGCTACCAGCGCTGAAGTTTCGAAAATGACCCTTACTGAGACTAATGCTTGTCGCTCTTTGTGGCTCAACGGGACTCTGCCCATCTCCATCGTCTTCGCTTTCATCGATGTTGCCGAATTCCTTGTCATCACCGAAGGATTGAAGAACACCCTCTCGGCTTCGCATTGTGTCACTATGCTGTACCACTGTTGGTACCTGTCCCACAGCGCCCCATTTTGGCGCAGAGTCCTCATCTTCGTCACTGCTGGGACGGGCTTCACCGGTGGAGAGTCGATGTAACCGAGAAGGAACTACACTGTTCAGGTATTCGTCGTCAACAATATTGTCATCTTCTGTTTGCTCAGAAGTCTGACATTCAGATCGACCTGATAGAGCAGAGACGGTCCGAGGGGGATATTGAGAAGTACGTTTCCGACTGATACGGCCAGACAGCCAAGATCCCTCAGAGTCGACGGAGGCGAGAGACATTGACTGTAGAGCTGGAGAAGGCTGTACTTCATCGCGGTGTATAGAAATGGGGGTAGCGCGCATCGTTTCCTGGTACTTGTGACTGTCCATAGGTGTGTCGTAACGCACAGCCACATCGTCAGGAATGGCTGGCAAGGGCTCAGCCGGGACGTGTTCAACTTCTGGAGAGGCTACCCGCGAGTCGGGGGGTGAAATAGGTAACTCCGGCAAGTCTTCTCGGAATCGGGACATGGTTCGCTTGGGCACCCCGGTATTTGCTATTCGAGGTGGTAGATAGTTTGCAGGCGGAGTCGTTTGCGTGCCTAGCATGGAATCTCGTGACGTGTTTGAGAAGGATGATGGACCTGAGCTGCGTCGATTCTTACCCCATCTAAATAGCGATAACCAAGGCCGAGAAGATCTGCTGTCCGAAGTCCGGCTTACAGACTCTGCATCATCCAGCTTGATTGAAGCTGTAGGAGGCGACTGCACCGTGGTAGCTATTGGGTCTTCGGACTGTCTTGGTGAAGTGGAATGAGACTTCCTAGACCGTATGAAGCCGAAGAACTTGGGACTTGAGGAACGAGGAGCGATAGATTCAGCCTGTTTCATTGAAATATCAGACCCAGCGTCCGGAGCTGGAGGCGATGGTTCAGGCGGTGGTATGCTGTCGGTTCTATAAAACTCATTTAGGGGTGACGGCGTCTTCGCGCGGGTTTCTAGATGCTCCATGTCGCTCGACTGTTTACTTCGCCTCCTAGGTGAGTCACTCGATGATCTGCGCCGAGATGAGGTGACAACCGCTGAGGTTCTATCGCCGGCTAAGTCGGGCATCTCGCGACCTAAAACACCACGTTCTAAGTTCCCCGGCGGTGGCGACCCGTTTTCAGCGGCAACAGCCTCTTCGGCTCGTTGTTTTTCTGATCGGCGAGCCAGCCGCCGCTGAGCACGATCTCGTTCCTTTTCAGCTTTCCGTTGCCTGCGTCTTTTGTCCCTCTCCATGAGTTCTCGTAAATCTGACGCATCTAGATCGTCTGCAAGATCATGAATCCTGTGGTGAGCGCATAGTGTTGACTCCGGTATTGTTATAGGCCTTGAAGCCTTCTTTTTGGTTGACTGAGACCGTGCTGGTCCTGAGCCAGCCGCCGAACTCGTGAATGGGTTAGAGGAATATCGCAAAGTGGGACGGGGAGAGAGAGCATCAAATGCAGAGACCTTCCATGAAATCTGCTCAGAGTCAGACGACATGGCTGAATGTATAGATTCCGGCCCAGGAAGAGAGATATCAGATGATCGTTGGTTGACGGCACCACCTAAGCCTGATCTCAATTGCCGGCTCTCCCTCTTTGAGGGGCGTCCAATTATCCAATGATCTGTGGCAGGTCGAGCGGGCATGAATTGACTCATTGCTCGGATCTCAACCTCACGATCATGATCTTCTTTGCGCCGTTTGCTTGATTTTTTATGTAGCAGTGGTTGACCTCTCCTCTTGTTTCTTGACGTATCGTGATATAGGGTGGGCATTCGCTGTGAGATATCTGCGGCGGGCAGTGATTGGTGTGCCTGTACGCTAGACTTCTTCCTTAATTTGTTCACACGAAGCGAGTCTTGCCGCCCTGGTGAGAAGCTGTAGGCCCGGCCACGGCGCTGCGGTATCCGATTACCCTTCCCCGAATCAGACGCGTTGGGCGTAGTTGAAACGACGGAGTGGAGTTGGTGGCCGTCGCCTGGCGCACCTACGGTGGGATCGGCACTATGAGCCGTATTAGAGCGTCGCCGGGTGCCCCTACGGCGGAATGGCCACATCGCCATGATCGCCAACGTTGTGAGGGGCGACACAACTCGTGTTGATGTTGGCCAGGGCTGTTTCACGGCTATCGATTGATGCTGAGTGGTAGACGTTCTAGAATCGTGGTAGCCATGTGGGCAAGTGGCCTAGGATTATGAGTAAGGTAGAGTGGTCGAGACCGATAGTATTGATTGGACCGCTTTTAGCAATCGCTCGACTCCAAGTCTTTAAGCTACGGTAGACTCGAACTCGATGGCGGAGAATTGAACGTGCTCAAAGCGTGGCTAGTCGCGCGACTCTCCAGGGTTCGTTGGCGCGTGGGATTGATGAGAATGCTTCGGTCGGCATTTAAATCTAAGCAGAATTGATAGACAATAATGGAATATAGGATGTGGATATGGGTCAACGCGCAAGGACTGAGTCAAGAGAATGAAAAGAGTCGACTACAGAGCAAAGAGATGAGAGGGAGAAAAGGGCTGACAAGTCGGAATGCTGTTGTGCAAGTTTCAGTAGAATAGTGGCGTGGGCATGAATGGGGATGGGCTGTTAATTGAGAGACCGTTGATGGTACAACTGTCTCTCCGGACCTACGCTACGTATCTAGCGTACATGCATGTACTGTTGGATCTCTAAGTAACAGCGTCAGGCACCCTACTTAGAGGTACTTACTGCTAGTTGAACGATGGGCCAGCGGGAAGGGAGGGCGGCAAAAGGAAAAGGGTCTGGCGGAGAGTGGGGGGAGTTCAGGCCCTGCTCCGTCACAACCTGGGAAGCACACAGGGGCGAGCAGGGGCGAATACAGTATGCCTACCTATTTTCGGGTACGTCAGGTGCCTAGCCGGGACAGGGTACATAGTAGCTACAGTACCGTGCCAGGGCGCTAAGTCGCACCATTACCTCTAGGTACTTACAAAGATAATTCCGACAACGCGATGGCCATTCCATGTGGTAGTGACAAGGGGGTTGATTGAACAGTCTTCAGAGCGAAAATAGAGAGAGAGCTAGCATGCCGCCGGCGGACAATGATGATGGCCTATTGTTCCCCTGCCCTTGCAATTACTTACTCAGTTAGGCATCTAGCAGGGCCTCTAAAGTACACTACTGTACTTAGGTACATGTACTAGAGTACCTAGGTAGATACCTACCTAGTGTAGCACAGGAAAACGAGCTGCTACTAGGTACCTACTTATACGACTCACAGCCCTGTAGGCATCGTTCCTAGGGTGGAGCTTTGCCACTTGAGTCTGTTAGGGACACTAGTGCGTGCTTCGTAGCAATGCTAGCAGCTGTTAGGTACATACAGGTAGGTACCTTAGGTAAGTAGGTACCTAGTAAGTACCTAGCTAGGTAGGTAGCTTGCGCAGAGGCTTTACTATGTACATATACGGTTATGGAGACACTTTGGTAGCATAGCTAACTCATAGCTCTTCATTATCTCGACCATTGCTCGACCAATGTTGGCCGGAATTCGCCACTCCATACTCTCGATCCCACCCAAATCGGCAAAACCAGTCGCAGATCACGAACGCCCTTATTTCTCACTTACGTATTGAGCTGTGCTATGCTACGCTATTTAGCACTACAAGGGACGCTCACCAGTACGAGATGGAGAACTGGTGATGTAACCCAGAGGACTCGCCCGAAGCGAACCATGTGATCTGGCAGATATCCATGTACAGTCCAGTCCCATACAGGATGCAAGTGTTTCTGGTCAGAGTTGGTCAGCCACGCAGCCAACCACCTCTATTCGGCATCTGTGAGCCACAGCTGCGTTGCACTGGGGGCGCCTAACAGATGAGCAGAGACGAGGTTCGATGGGTGGCTCTAGGTGGATGTGGTGCGGCCATCCCATATGTACCGCATGAATATAAGGAACTACAGGTACGAAGAGTGATGTGCAGGATGCCTACATATCTAAAGTATTAACCTACATGTGAGGACTTATGTAGTGTAGGGTGTCTGGTAGGGGTAATGAGCATGTCCCGCTCGTGGCTCGGAATGAGGCAAGGCACCAACCTCATTGTCTTGTAGGTTTCTCCTGCCACCCTCCCGACAGTTACTATGTAGTGCAAGTCGACAGAAAAAAAGGTCAGCCAAAGCACGCGTAAGAAGCCTAGACCAATCCCATGCTGCTTTGCCAAGTAGTGCACTACCTACCTATTCATCGAGTTCAACCCTCCCAATCACACCTAGCCTTCTTTTTCCAGGTTCAGGACACCTACCTACCTACGTCAATACTTAGCCGTCTCTCAATGCTAGGGTGTATTTGGGGATATATGGGGTAGGTATTAAGTGTATGAGTGATGTCAGTGCACCAAAAGAGAGCGTCACTCGCGAGGACGACACAGACATGGCTCCCTGCTCATATTGCAACGCCCGACATAGGTTACTATCCCGATTAAACCACTCAGTACGTCGTATTTTTAACTCTACCCATAGCCTCTAAAACGATGTCACTTAAAGGCCGGAAAGCCCTACGGAGAGAATCCAATCTGTGAGAGAGCAATCCTCCTGGAACATGTTTCAAATACCAAGCCACAGGCTGGATTTACCTACTCGCCTATCAAGGTGGTATACTGCGCAAGTCGAAAGGATGGCGCAAAATTTGCGGTAAGGGACAGGGCGCCGAATGGTACTTTGACTAGAGTCAGGTACTATGTAATGCAGGCAGCAAGCAGGAGGTAGGTGGTTCCTCATCATGTCCCTGCGTTTCAATCGCAATTCTATTGACTTTACATACCCGATTGTCGACCCTTTGGGATTCATCGCAAATATATACATGCCCATCTCCATGTCTCTTGTCTTGCATTGGGTCCGATAGTGTGGGACAAGGTACTAAGTAGAAAATGGGTAGAATGTCTTGCTCTGAGTTGGCATCTGACGGGACACGGCACCTAGAACCAGGTACATAGATAGTGATTAACATGCCAATCAGCAAGATATACTTGGGCCATTCCCGAATACCGGTAACGCGACTAGTGTGTAGGACCCCTTTTTTTCAGTTTGTTCAATTTTCCCTCTCAATGGCGGTATCCTGCTCGATAATAGCGGTGTGCTGTGGCATTTTGCATGCAAATGCAGAGCACTGGGAAGCAGAGTCGATCGTGACTTTCTTGTTTCCTTTAACGCCGACCAGATTCTGACGTGTTCGTGAGGTGACTTGGGACCACTAGAGAGCCTTGGCCGCCTCCTAGCTCAGGAACGCAAATGGCTTTGGTCGAATGTGGTCGAAATGCGGGACGTCCCAGCTGCATGTACATGTATATGGCAGCAAGGATGGTCGAAATGAATGTCTGTGGGATTGACACGTTGAATATTCCACGGGCGAGACGGGCACTGCGGATGCACATGGTCAAAACGGCATGCATGAAAATGGACGAATTTGTCCGACGATTCCTGGCTGATCATAGCATGGTTGTCTATGCGTACTCTGTACAGTACTCCTACATAGGTGTAGGTATTCATACTCTACATACATACATACATACCTATGTACATACCGGTACCTAGTATAAGCACAACATGTTTCAAAATCGCAGCTTGGGTCAGCTTACCTATATACCTACCTACTATATACTATGTATAACATAACGTTTATGGCTACCTACTGTACGTAGTACTTACACCCGCATAAAGGTTGTGGCGTTGAAAGTTGGATAGGAAACACAAGCCGAGGTTACTCAATATTGTCAATACATAAAATACATTGATGTTCTAGAACTACGTCGCCTACCTAATGCTTAACTAGGTAAATTACAATAACTATCTACATACCTATTGTTCAGTAGCCTGAGACAACCTGGAGGCCACGATGCGGTGTGATCTTCTTCGTAGTACACTACAGAGCGATGTACCAGATCATGACTTACCTACTTCGTAGGTGCCTAATATGATAGGCACCCAAGGAATATGTCTTATCGATAAAGCGATGCCAGCCTATCACATTGCATCCTCGCCCCAATGTTTACTTGGCTGCTTGGTGAATATCAACACACCTAGCAACCATCATCATAACAAGTCACCATCATTACAACCAACCAGCAAAGGCAGATTCTCTCCCCAAAGTCTCTATTCTTTCGTTCCGACGAGAAGAGGGAGGTCCTTCATACACTATACAAATCCCATCAAAATGTCGTACAACCCGCGAATGTCGATAATACCACCGGCGCAAACGCAGTCGCGCACGCGCAAGAAAGAAGAGGAGCCCGATGCCTTCATGTGCTTGCCGGATAAGGAGATTGTCGCGTGTCTGACAGACATCGGAATCCCTTTCTCCGTCGCCGACCTTCACAAGCCCAACCCTGTACAAGTCCAGATGATATTCGAGTGGTTCGCTGATCTCCTCCTGGATGCAAACCGGGAGACCGTCGAACCCGCGATGCGTGCCGCTGCTGAGGACGTATGTGGCGAGTTCGTCGATATTGTGCCTCCCGACACGCGCAATTTGATGGGCTTCTACGTATCTTTGCGCAGGCTTCTCCTTGCCTGTGGCATTACCGATTTTAGCTTCTCGGATCTGTACAAGCCAACGCACCCCCGCCTTGTTAAGATTTTCAGCTATCTGATAAACTTTGTGCGCTTCCGCCAGACTCAGTCAAAGGTTATCGACATCCACTTCAACAAAGCCGAGGAAACCAAGGAACGCATCGAGATACTCTATAGCGAGAATCAAGACGCCGAGGACAGGCTCCGTGAGATGCGGCACAACCGTAAAGCCATGGAGGCGCAAGTCCGTGAGAAGACGGAGCGTAACCAGGAATTAAGAAGGACTCTTTTTGAACTACAACGAACCCAGGAAAAGGTGATGGCTCGATTGGAAGATGCAAAGGCCAAAAAGGGAGAGCTCGCACAAGCCCTCGAGCAGAAAACTACCGAAAAGATGATGCTAAAGCAGGAGAGCGCTAAGCTCCGACCATATACATTACAAAGTCCACAGGCATTGCAAACTAGCCTAACAGAGCTAAATAACACTCTAAGTGCAGATAAGGCACACATCGATTCATTGGACCGCCGAGCGCGTGCACTGCAAACTTCGACAGATTCCTTTGGAGTAGTGTCAACCGATGTGGCGTCTTGCATCAAGCTCCTAGATGAAATATCAGTGGAATTATCAAAAGAAGAGGAGGAGCATGCTAGAAATACCAAGCAACGCGACGCCCTATCCGAACGAGGTAACAATGTTCGAGAAGTTGAGCGTACAGAGGCACTGTTGCAGAGGCAACTAGGCAAATGGAATGAACGCACAGAGAAACTTCGTGACCAGAGCCGCGAGAAGGCACAAGAAGCCAAGGAGAAGATGGAGGTACTACGGGCTTTACACAAGAAGCTCACAGAAGAGCGGGCAGCCAAAGGCACTGAGATCGAACGACGGCGAGTTCGTATTGAGCAGACTGAGAAGAAGGTATAGTCTATTCAGTTTCTTCTTGGGGGGGGGGGGGGGGGGCCGCCCCCCGGCGCCCCCCCCGACGACGCAGGGATGCAATAAAAAGAAAGAAGGGGAGAAGGAGGGGGGGTGGGAGTCGAGA